CCTTGTTGTGGCAAAGTTCTGTCGAAGTTGCCTACATTAACTGTGAACTTGAAAGATAAAGACTTTTTTTCGACTTTTAAATGTACACTAACTATCATAACTCATTTCAAGTACTCTAAACTTGACAGCCTATATTATGCAAATGACAACTTCTCTACTTCCACAACATCAGGGTGATAAATTAAAAAAAAAAAAAAGTTCTACTTCTGTTTTAATGGAACAAATTGTAACAGCTTCAATTGCTCAACCTGCAGTAGTATGTTTAATATAAAATTGACATGTTTTGAATAAAAATCCAACTATTGGAAATAACTATAGCGTCTAAACAAATGTGATGCAACAAAAAGCTCAATATTTTCCTCTAAATAAAGGAAGACAAATGAGAAAGTAAAAGTAAAGCATATACACCTGACTTTAATTTAAGTGCAGATTTAAAAGGGATGTGTTTGGGAACTTCTTGAGCTGAGTATGATGAACAGAAAAAAAAACGATTGTGCAAAATGACTCACGCTGAGGACTTCCAGTAATGATAAACAGGGTTGTTTTAAGAAATCTCATCACTACAGCAAACTACATTAACCTGAGGCCCAGCTGCCCCTGTGTCTTTGTAGGGTTGCACTGTTTATGTTTGTGTCCGCACAGAGACCGCACAGCTCCTCAGCCTTTAATCTGAGCTCTGTGCCTCTGTGTTGAGTTACAGCAGCGCACAATGAGTGCTCTGTTCTCCGCTGAGGTGCCACAGCTGCGACCTCTGGGCATGCTCAGTACATAGCTCAGTCTGATCTTGACAATGAGAGGTACTGCAAGATTTCCAGGGGCAGCCCAACCAAACTGACAGGCAGCAGGGATACCAGAGAGGCACCTCATACTTGGAATTATGGAAGCTTGCTGGGTTTGAAGGTCTAATTTCCAGCAGTGATAAATCATTACATAGAATTTCCCTTCCGGGATCAATAAAGTACTTCTAATAAGATAAAATAAGTTCCTCTTATCTTATCTTATCAGTTTAATAGAGCTGGGTTTCCTGTGTGATGAATTGATGTGCAACAATCATTTAAAGATGAATGTTTCCAAAACAAGTCAAGACAAGTGAATATCTATGAGAGCCAGAGCGGCAAACTATGTTCATCAGGTTAAGAATGATACATTCAATGGTTTTCTCTTCTGTCTAATGAAAAGTGAACACAATTATATTCAAGACTGTTCAGCAAAGATTTTTTTTTCTTTACATGATGAAACTATGTCAGGTTTCATTAAGAGCACTGCCAGCAAAACATGCTTTTCACCCTGTATTCTTAACCATTCCTTTCACCTGGTTAAATGTCATTATAACCTCCTCCCTTACCTGGAAAATATCAGTGCAAGTATCACCAACACTAGACAAGACAAGACCAAAACCTAAAAGTTTAATAACTGTGCCTTAATGTGTTCAGAAAAGTGAGTTATGTTACTTGAGGCCATCAAAGGAAGCTTTAGATTCAGTTTTGTTTCTCTGAGTTGAGGCCCAGCATGCCTTGCAGGTTGGAAATAAAGTGAAGAATAACGAAAAAAATAAACGTACCACTATAAGCCAAGAATTCTGAAACATGTTTCTAGAAAGTATTTGGATTTTTCATGGAAATAAAAATTTGAGGAGCTATGTGAAGCTCATGCTGAGAAGAATTTTCAGTGGGAGCAGCAGAGAGGAGGAGGAGGAGGAGGAGGAGGACCTCGGTGTTCAGAGCAGGAGGAGCAGCAGGCTCTCTGGTCATACTTCAAGGATATGAGCCAAGAACTTTCTGTCTGTTGGCCCAGCAGCCATGACAGGAAGTCAGCTTTCAGACCCGGTGGTCCCACTCCTACAGAACACATGCACACCCACCACCTCCACCTCCGTCTCCACCACCAACCACAGCGGCGACCTCACAATAAGCTCACATGTTCTGATCAGCATGATTTATGTTGCATCACATATAAAAGAGCAGTCAGCAGATTTTTTTTATTTTTGTTCCTGAGTGTCACCTCAGTCAGAAAACTGAACTGGGATCAGACCACTCAGGATGTGATGAGTGCTCTCATGCTTGGGTTTAATTTTGTACAGATGTGTGAGATTTACAGCACAACAGTCCTCACAACACTTGTGGGATTCATTAAATTCAGTCACAGCCAAAAGAAAGCCGCTTCCACCAACAACTTTTCCACCAAAAAAATCAGGCCAGGTTTGTTCATTTCATAACGTCTGCAGGGGTTTCTTTTCTGCACTTAGGTTCTGTTTTATCATTCACCTTTTTTAAATATTTGTATTAATTTCCCTCTACTGTGATTAAATGAATCTCAGACTAACCTGACACAGAACTGGATTTATAAATAAATAAGAAGTCACATTTAATTTATAAATCAAAAATATATTCTTTTCAAGAGTCCCACCCTTATTTAAGTTTTTGAACACAGTAGCGCTTGACTCTTAATGTGAGAAACAGAGTTGGAGCACAGCCCATGTACAGTGCGCTGCTATCACACTTTATTAAAAATAGAAACATATATTCATAGCACTTTCCATACAGACTAAAATGGTCCACTGGTAGTATTTTCAAAACTGAGTTACATACTATAAAACACTCATTTGGCCTAAATCCACTGTAGAAATATCTTCAAAATAAAAAACCAAAGACATTAAGGAAGTCTTCTAATCCCCCCTGTGATTCTGAGCTCTTCCTACCTCACCCTTACTCTGCCTTTTAAACAAAATCAAACACCATGGAGAGGAGAGGACGTGAGTATGGAGATGAGAAAGAAACAAACGTGTGAGCTCACTGAGAGAAATAAATGCACAAACAATCAAGTTTAAAAAAAGATGGCACATTTATTGCAACATAAATGTTATATACATTGTGTTTCCTGCTGAAAAAGACAGAAAATTCAAATCCCCGTTGCTGCAGTTTTGTAATGGATGCATCGACAATACCTCTTTATTTGACACAAGAGCAAATCTTTTACCAATCAACGACGAGACCAAAGAGTAAGATCGAGGTCTCTTTAAGGAATCTGGAGCTCGTATGAAGCCTTTTGAAGAACTAAACTATGAGCAACATTTCAGCCTTGTTTCTTGAGATGCTTTTAGTAAATTTCCTGTAATAATGGACAGGTTATTGTAAATAACCGTACATTTTACTATCTAATATAGTAAAATAAAGTAAGAAACTTTTTTACTCAAAACTTTTGCTTTCAAAAATCTAGAAAGAGTAATATTTAGAATTCAAGAAATATTCTTACAGTATTATTGTATAAAAGACTAACTACAGTGAAAAATAAGCCAAATGTTTTTTTTTTCCTTTTGATTTTGTTTTTCTTCATATATTATACAAGGGAAAGCATCTGGGAATACAGCAAAGTCTAACTTGGCAAACAGAGGAGCAAAGAACTGTAGGAAGAACAGGAAATTTAAAAAAGGAAGGAAAGAGAGCAGGAAGTGGCGTACAATATACCCTCAATCAAAGTCTGCTGACAGAAATGCAAGCCCGTAAATACTGAAATGAAGAACAAGGCCTCATTCAGTCAGAGAATACACATCAACCACAAAGGTTTTCAGTGGTCAAATATTATATGTTGGATGTAAACTCTTAGTGTGGCATATTTATGCTAACGCAAGTCCCTTTTTGAAGAGGAAAGTCCAGTTGAATGTGGCAGCCTTGTTTGAGGTGGACATTATGATAGACAACAATATACAAAGAAATAAATGGAATATAAAGCAAGTCTTAAGACCAATGATTTCAAAAGGAGAGACATAAAGCATGCACACCGATAGGGAAAACAAAATAAAGTCATGATAATGAAACACAAAAGAAAATCCTGTCTTCTTATTTTGTTCAATTCTGTGCTACAGTTCTATGATATTCAACAAAGTCCATGAAATATCTGGTCTGGCTTCTTCAACTGGAGTATCACGGCTTGGTTTGAAACATAATTGAAAAATAACTTAGAACATATTCCCTCCTCTGACTGAACCCGGGCGTCATAATGCTGGAAGTGGAAAGAAGTGACTTATTACAACACAAAAAAGCATAACTAAAGAATAACAGCCTTTGAAATGAAATTAAATGTCTTGAGATATTGAGAGGAAGAAAATTAAGTTACGTGTTCATCAGGCCAGAAGAAGATGTGGTCTTCGTTTGTTTATTCTTTAACTACAGCTTTATGAAGCAGTCTGATTAGCTGGTGGCAAGAAAAAGTACAAAAAAAAAGAAGAAAGCCACTTCTGTGCTGCTTTAAGAGGAGAAAGTTACTGTCAGGATACTAATCAGAGACAAAAAAGTCACTGCTTACATTTAACACTATATGGCAAAGGAGGGCAACGACTTTCCCCTCTTCCTTTAGTTAAGACACTAAAATATGCAGGGAATGCTAAGGTTTGCTCTCTGTGTTATCACTGCTCACTACCAAGGAGAAAAACAAAACAAAACAAAAAAAAACTAAATCTGAGCTTTCAGTAAACCTAGAGTTTGCTGGTCACTTTTGCAGACAATATTGCTAATGCAAACTTGTTTGGCTTGTCAGTAGCGCAGAAACTGACCTAAACTACACAGACACAAACATAGGTAGTTTTGGTTACACATGTGGCCAGCGGCAGAATTGATAAAATATAAATATAAATAATATATCATCTTTTTTTTTTTAAACATGGGGTGCTTTTATGTCTTCTTTCCTAACAGCTAATGATCATTTCAGTTGGGTATAAATATCACTCTAAACTGGCCAATAAATTAATCTTCTCAGTGCCCAAATATTTCCCCCTCATCTCGGGACTCGCCAAAGATTTCCCAGGGTGGAGTGCTCAGTTTTATCAGTGACACTGGCAAACAATAGATCAACTGAACAGCCGCATTCTTCTCTTTGAATTTGCTTAACTTTCCCTTTAGACATACACTTTATAGCTCAATAACATAATAAATAGAAAAAAAAAGAAACAAACAAACAAACAAACAAACAAACAAACAAAAAAAGTTGCTGTTACAATGCATTCGTCAATTCAGTTTAGGCACAAGGCAATTTCCACGTACGGTTGAAGGAGATTGCGAAGTCTCTGATTGTTCAGAAGCGACACACTTCTTTGCAGACAGTGATATGTGCTGAAGGAGTTTTTTTTTTCTTGGTGGGAGAAATTTGCAGATGAAAACTTTGTCACTGGGCGCTGAACGCTTCGTTTCTTCTTCAATTGTAGGACTGGATTGTTTAAGTGTCGTAGTTTTTCCTTCAAGTGGTCTGTCTCCTCCAACTGGTGTCACAAACTGAGAGTCCTGTTTGTGTCTGGAGAGTAAGAATGCCGACTCATACGGGACAGACATGATCCGCATCTTTTTTGACCTGGAGGACAGGAGGGAGAGAAGGGCTGATATGAAGTGTGCATCAATAGAAACACTGGATACTGATAATGGATCGAATGTATACAATTTTACATTTAAGATTCAATACACTGGAAAATGTTTAATTTTAAAACACTGGCTTGTTCCCAAAATTCCTGTCACTTTGGTGAGAGGGAAAACTACAGCCTGTCTCTGGTCTCTATGAAAAACAATTTTATACACTGACCCTGAGAGTAATCGATATGAATACATTTTATATAAACAGAAAACAAACCTGGTCGAACCTGTCTGCTACTCAGAGGTGGCCCATGGGGTTGGATGTGTCAGTCAGGCCAGGATGGACACCTGTGTGAGCTTGTTGAGTGTCACCAGAGCCCCCAGACACCTTCTCCTCCTCCCTCCTCTTAAGGCAGGCTGCTTTGGGGTTCAAATTTCGCTCTGTGGGTTTAAATCACAAAACCAAACTTGAGTGCATTTTACACAAATTCACCAGAATGACAACATTAGCCTCCCTTTGACTTCATTATAATAACTTTATCCTCTGTCTATCAAACTCAGATGTTTTAGCACAGATGACTCGATTGGTTTAGCAGCAGTATTTTTCTGATAAGTGATAGTTTGGCTGTGACTCCTTTTTTTGCAGCTCTGTTACTGACTTGTCCGCCTTTACATCAGAGTGCAGTTCTCTTTAGTGCATTACTCTTCTTTACACGTTCTGTACTCAATTTACAATTTCTGCTCTGGATGTGACACATAAAGTTGCTGCCTGCAGGAAAATATGACGCTTTTTGAAGATGCCTGATTAATTGAAAAGAGGTATTTCTGACACTGACCTCTGACTTGCTGCTCCAAGTTAAGTATGACGGCCACAGCCTGATGGAGGATGAGCAGTTTGGTTTGGGGCTTCTCGCTTTTCAGGTGCAGCTGGCACATCCGACCCAGCTCCTTAAAGGCTTCGTTGATGTCTCGCACCCTCAGGCGTTCACGGGCATTGTTTGCCATCCTCCTTTCGCGCTCACGCTCAGCTTTCTGCTCGGGGTTCAGGTCCTCATCTTCAGTTAAACTGTGAGAAAAGACATACACCTGCAGTCAGAGCTGTTATAGAGCCTGGGGAAGAAAAACATTTGTGGTCAGGGTCACACTGGCAAGGGCACAACTTGTGTTTGCCGCCCTAATGCAACAGACCACAAGGGGGCCCAAAACTGTTCATTAGCATCTGGTGATTAGTGGTAATGTGAACATGTCCAACAACCAAATGGAAAGCTTAATCGATAATTCTTGCAGTCTTACACTCCATAAAATAGTGTTGGGTGGTATGAACAAAATCTTGAAATGAGTTCCTCCTCCTCTTCCTCATGTTGGGTGGGCTGGGCTGCCTCAGTTTGCTCAGTACTGCCACTAATCTCCACCAATGAAGCTGTTTCTCCTTCGTCGAAACTATGTCAAGCAGTCTGCTGTACACGCTGGTTATTATATGGAGCGCACCCAAACCTAACCAATCAAATGGTTAAGTTTGGGAGGTATACCTCCCAACACTATCATAAAACAACATTCACTGCACTACTGTGTCAACTTACTGTAATAAAACATTAGAGGAGTCTTATCGATAATGTAAAAGGCAGATTTTCGACATTGTGCTGGATGTTATGAATTTTTACAGACTGCCTTTATTGCTGCAAGATAAGTGATAAGAACTAGAGACAATTTTAAAGCTGCAATTGTGCATCAATGTCAGAAAGGGTTAGAGGTTCATTACAGGAAACTTTGTTGATCATTAAATTAGGAACAATCTGTACATATAAATGTCAAAGTCTGAGCTACTGCTTGAACCTTTCGATCTCTCTTTCTTTCTGGCTGTGGTTGGTGCAATTGAAACAAGTGCTAACCCGAACCCAAAGGAACCCTTGGCTTGAACAATTCTCTATCCAAATTAATATTTATGTCTAAACTTCACTAACTTTAACCCTGGAGGCACTCGTTTTTTAGGAATAGACTGTTTGTGTGCTCTTACCTCGTACGTGTTCCTGCTCTGGGTGTCCTCATATCTCTTTTATCACTCTCATCATCAGACTTCTCATCTGCAGACAGGTTATCCTGCATCTCATCCTTGTCCTGTTTCTCCACCTTCAGCTCCAGGGTGGCAGGCACCTGGCCAGCCAGGGCTGAAGTGAGACCTGCTGGAGGTAAGACACTGAGCATTAGCTGAGTTGTTGTTAATCATTATCAATTAAAAGTTTAATGGGGTGATGGGACTGTCTCAGACCTCTGAATGCTTCTACTTGGTGGCTGAGTTCTGTGCTGGATGCGGAGCCAGCGCCAGGCAGACCTCCGTGGTTGTTGTTCAGACTGACAGCATCATCAGCGTGGGCACCACCCTGCTGCAACACACACAGGAAAGACAAGCAGGTCAGAGGAGGACGCTGATACTCTCTGGAGACAACTTAAAAACCAATGAGCTAGAGGAGTGTCAAACTGAAGATCTAAAAAAAGGGGCCATGACTGGAAGTTACCAGTGAGATGGAGCCAGGGTGACCACAGATTTCTAAAGAAGGTGTTTTCATATATTTAATGATATGTACCAACTGAAAACTTGAAAATGAGACAGAATTCAAACTGTGTGATGTTTGAAAGCCCACAATTGGACTACTTCTTTGAACAGTAGTCTAAAACAGGGACGGCCTTTATTTCAGCCCTGGGGGGCTTCGACAGTTTGCTTTACAACATGTTATAAATACAAAACCTGGACTTAAAAATAGAAAAAGCCATCTTTGTAACAATACTTTCCAAAAAAAAGCTCCCTTTCATGAAACATTTAGAAAACTCCTTTATGTATCTGTTTATGCAATATAATGATTTGCAACGTACTGCTTGGCATTCTCATGCTAAGCTCTCTGTAACCACAACTTAGACTGTGTCTGTAGTTTATGTCTAAAAGAAGACAAATCCTGCAATGTTTAGTTTCAAAAGATGTCACGCTGGAGCCACTTCAGAGTCCGACCATTTCCATGTTTTTCTGTCCACAGTCGTAACTTAAAAACCCGTCACCTCCCACCATGTTGCACCACAAAGTCCCTCCTTCATGAGGTTTCCCAAATGTTCTTTAACATTTTGATTTCCCTTCAGAGAACCAGAGAGAGGCGGAGAAATCATCAGCAAGGGTGGAGTGTATTCCCCCTTTTTCTTAAGGAATGTGATCCCGAGTCACTGTTGGCCTCTTTTAACCCCATCACCATGAGACCCTCCCCTTCCTCAGTGCTACGCTAATCTTTGCTGTGCTCTCAACAGGTGTCCAAACAACTCTTTGTCTGGAGGAGGAGGAGGGAGGCCGGGGCTCTGGCGTGAAAAGAACGCTGCCATTTTCATGGCTCAGGCTGATTACCATACAGCTGAGGAGCTCTTATTTGGGTGGAGACCGTGGGTTCAGACACACGTTTCCAGCGATTCAGATTTCCTGGGTTGTTAAAAAGAAGTGATGAAAAGAGGTGGAAGGGGGTGACGGGCGGGTGTCAGCCCGAGTAAAAAGCCTGTACTGAGTCTGGTGAGCTCTGTCTGAGGGGATCTCTTCCCACACAGGAAGTGCTGTGTTAGTGCAGACACAGTATGTTCTATCTCACAGTTGCAGTCGGTCAACATCACTGCCACAACCCAGCTCTCTGTAACAAATACATCAAACTGAGCTCCTCTGACAACCACAGAGGCCTTCTTGTTAGGAGACAAGACACGACGCTACGATGCAACAGTCTCAGCAGCAGAGAGAAAACACTGAATGACAGAAAACACACAGAGCCTAACGACAAACCAGGAACTTAAACTGCTCTTCAGATCTATTAATGCTGGAAAATGAGGTTTGAGAGCACAGAGGAGAGTGGGAGAAAACACCAAAAAGTCAAATCACTGCAGTTGAAAAAGTCCTCAAAATTGATGCTTTCAAATATTTTTTTATTTCATATTGTCAACAAAAAGATGATATTTTCTGATTGAGAGTGTGTGTGGAAACATGTTAAAATTATGTGTTTACTGTCATGGATGAGGTCAGGTTTAAAGGCAAAACGTAACACTCTGAGTTGAATCACACAGTTGACTGATGGATTCAGTTCTGCGCAAAAATAACTGGAAAACATTTAGATAAGTGAAAGTTTGAGTCACTTAATGAGCCAAAATGACAAATACTCTCTAATTCCTTGACCCGCTGCTCTGCCTTCAGATCCAACATGATAGTGTAGCGAATAAATTTGGACTTTTGTTTATCGAGAATCCAGCTAGAACTCAAGACTTGGCCTGAGAGGAACACCTGATGAAATGTTTATCACAGAAAGAATCCACTGTCTTAACTTCAGATAACCTTGCATGAATAAAAAAAACATCATTCAGAGACAAAATATTGAATGCTCTTTTATTTTATAGTCTATGACTCCCACAAGGGTTTCCACACAACCCTGGATTACAGTTGGACGAGTCGCTCCATTTAATTTTCACTGCAGATGTGTCCAAATCTCTTGGCTCTTTGGAATGAAATATGCAAGATGGAGGTTGGGTGAACACATGATTTATACTGAGACCTAAATTCCTTGAGGGATTGCAACACACAAACACATCCTACACTAATGCATAACTTTGCTCCATTATGCCTGTTTTTCTCATTTCCCTTTCACCCCTGTGTATAGAGGCACTCTCAGGAGGAGGGTAAGCCTTAGGCCAGCCATTACACTTATGGAAAATATGTCAGGATAAATTCAACTCCTCGTGTGTGGAAAAATGTCTCACTCCCTCACATGACAAAAAGACCTGTTTTGAACAGGTGGTCAAGATTTCTCTTTGAGGAGTTTTACAAATAACAGAAAGCAGCACTAGAAGCTTATATATTTTTTTACCTATATACACAATGGCTTCTTCGAAATACTTCAGTAAGGTTGTCATACCATTGCTGCTGTCCGACTTGGAACCAATGCAGAGGCAGGGAAGTTTGCTCCAATGGCTGCGATTGGCCCATTTTGTGCCTGTCCCAGCAGACTGTGTAAGTCACTGGGCAGACTGGCGGTGGAGCCCACGGCATGGTTCCTAAGAACAAGGATTGCATCATCCAGTCTGTCCAGACGATCTTCCATTCGAGACTGGGAGGACCAAAGGAAGTGAGGAGTGGAAGGTTAGGGAGAGGAGAAGAGAGGAAGAGAGGACAGAGCAGCTTAGTATAAGCACATTAAGACCAAAAATAAAAACACTGATTGTATGGAGTGGACTTGAAACGAAACAAAACTCATCCGAAACAGAAGATAACGAAGGCAATTCAAATGCAAGATCAACAGAGCCGTTTCAGCTTCAGCTGTCAAAGTCGACAAATGTCTCCATTCATGTTGAACTGAAACAATGATCAATAGAGAGTTAATTTAGACTTATTACTGCAAGCTGGAACGGCCTATTAGACAATGTAACATGGCTTTATGGCAACAAAGGCAATAAAATGAATTTACATCTCACTGTGAGGAATGTGGACTGCAAGCAGAACTCGTGAGAGAAAATAAAATGAGGAGCGACATATGGGACATGTAAAGAGTAAAAGACTCTATCTGAAGAGTACCTCGCAGACATCCTTTAAGAAAGACATGGCATCCTGGAGATGCTCATGTAACTGCTGATGAACTCTGTTTTTCTGGCAAAGTCAAATAAGAATAAGACAGGATTATGAAAAGAGATCAGTATCGATAAATGCAGGGGAAAAACACTCTGAGGATAGAGATTGGTTTTTTTTAAAGACACAAAAGAGGAGCAGGATTTAGAAGGAGGCACAAAGCTGCTGACCATTCACTTTGGGAGGATGAGAGCGTTTGTAATCAAATTGGAAACCCAGTTTTCAGTGTTTGTCTTTTCTCGTCACAGGCTAGTGTGAGAGAAAAGCACAAAGTTCACATGCAGTGGGTTGTTTTAAACATAATGCACTCACAAAAAAATGAATTTCAAGTTTTGTATTATGCTTTTCTCTGGTTGGAATAAATGTGTTTTGCATTGTCCAAAACCAACTTTGAGATACAGTATATAAAAACACCCTTGAAATATACTGAATTGTTTTGAAGCAAAAGACTGCCCTCTGGGTTATTAAAATCACCTATTTTACTGACAGAAATACACAAGAGAACTATAATCAGTAGCCCACTTACCATATTACCCAACAGGAAAAGTCATGTAAATGTAATCTTATCCTGAACTCTCAGATTCAGACCGTTAGTTATCACTGATTTCTAGAGTGAAAAGGGTTTTCCAAAGTCTGAAATTGTTTTGCCTCAACCACAGACTGCCAGGGAATATTAAAACATCTAAACATTTCCTGAAAATATGTCATCATTTGAACTCTGCCTCACTGCGTGTCAGAAAAATGATTTATTCATTCAGGCTGGAATGGAAAGAAAGAACGAAAGAGTGCTTGGAAAAGTCCTCAAACTTGATGTTTTCTGTTTTTACAGTTGAGTCTTCAAGAATATGTCAAAATTAATGGTTGTCTCACTGATGTTATTGTACCAACTAGCCAAAAAAAAAGTTTTGCTTGGAATCTGAAAAATAATACTTGGAGGTGTAATGAAAAATGAGACTTCCTTGCTTAAAGTTAAGCTCATAGTATTCTGTATGTAAGAGAGACTTTTTAAAATGCTAATTCTTATCCACTGCTTTGTGTAACTGGACTGTGTCGAAAGTTGAAACAAAGATAAGGGCGTTTTTACACAGTAGCTCCTTGATTTCTCTCTCTCTTGCGTGTCAGAATCAACTCAGTCTACAAACATTATACAACCCTTGGAAATAACTTCAAGCTCATGCACTGCTGCTGCTCTTTCTTAGGACAGTGATGTACCGTGGTGTGAGGTTTCTGTTAGTGTCATTTCAAACAGAACTGAATTTTGTTGCTTCATTCCTTTAACCAGCAGCTACATTTCAGGTTTTCTAATATCATTCACTCACACTGTTTGCTCTGTGTTCTCTCTCTTTCTAGCTAATTCTCACAATAAATATAGGCAAGCATGTTCAAAAACTCTTTCAATCATTTTTTAGAAGCCTGTTGGACTAAGAAAGTCCTTTTAAACTATCTGCAAACTGTAGCAAACACATGTATGATAAACAAATCAGATGTGTAGCGATGTCAAGGGGAAAAAAACTTCTGTAAACATGTTCTCTCTGAGCCTCGTTTATTCTCAAACCATGTAAGTTGGATCATTTTTGACATTTCCAAGCTAATACTGCTTATTTCTTTTTATTGAAATTCCCCGCACAAACTGTAAACATATGCATCAGGTAGTGTACTGGATGTAAGCTGATCTGTATCTGTGGTCTCATAGCAGCGGAGGAATCCTGGAGAAGTGGTTTAGCAAACAGATGCAGTCCCCACATCAGCGGCCCCCGTGACTCTTTAACTAAACCCCTCCCACAACTGTCATCCCCGTCCTGACCCACAGAGTTGGAGGACAGATGGCAAGCCCCAAGGGACAGGTATTGTTCGGTTTGGTTATTTCTCGGCCCCCCATCTTCCACAGTTTAACATTTGTCAGTCAGGAATCTCCCTGTAATGCTAGCTGAGTGTAAGATGAGCATCTATCATATTCTGCATTCACTGGAGGACAGGGGGGAGATCGGGAACTTACCAGTGAGTGAAGAGAGTTCTCATAACTGGGGGAGGAGGGAGTCTGACCACTGGTGCGAGGCCACTGGTTGGTACCTGATGAGAGAGAGAAAGAGAAAGCAATGTATCAGAGGTCACTAAATGCAATCTTTAAAGTCAGTTTCAACATGTCTGATATCTGTTTTCCTGCTCCACTATCTGCACCGACACAAAAGTTCGCTGACAAACACAATTACACGCAGCCATAACACACTGACATCCTGATTTTATGCTGTCTTGTTGTTCTATACAGGTTATTTCTATCTTTGAGCGGCTACACTGCATCACTTCCTGATGACTGGACTGCATCCTGCCTCTTGGCGGAAGCTTCCTCTAATGCCCACTTCCACCCCGAACATCTGCACATAAATAAGCATTGTAATGAGAGACTGGAGAACAATGTGAGCTCTGACCGATCTCATTTAAAGCGCTAGATTTCCTCCACACTTCTTTTCTCCTGGAAACTTTTGAGCCTCTAGAAACACATTAGATGGTTGATACTAAGGAGGGGTTGAGAGGAGTTTCAGCATGTGGCCTTCATCAGGGTGTTTGATGAAGGAAAAGCGCCAAAGCATCTGGGTTCAATCAAGTTCAAACTCTTGCATTACATTTGCTTGTTTAGCTTGGTTGGCTCTTTCTTTGCCGTTTTTGGTGATTTAAACACAGTTTTTAATTACAGTGAATAAAGCAAGTTTGGCCTCTTGGGTTAAATACCATTCACATCTGAGCGCCATTGTTACATTTCATCTAATTAGTCTCACAAAGCCAATCCACCAAGGAAGTTTTCTCCCTTTCATTCCCAATAAAGAGTCGGTTTAATCATGCAATGCAAATAGAAAGAAATGGAAGACTCTCTGCACAGGGGATCACTATTTACTGTAGGCTGGTGAAAATTCAGAGTTGTGCTTTTGTGCTTTTCTGTCGGCCAAGAAGTTAATCTACAGACCAGTACAGGAAAGCAAATCAAGCTGATTTGATCTGTTCCAAATTAAAGCTGAAGGAAAAAGGAATCCACATCTGCTCATCACATTTCAAGTTCCAGTTCAACATCTCTGTCTCTTCCTGAAGCCCTAAAGTCCAAGTCTCCCGCCTGCTATTCATAATGCACGGCGATGTATTATACAATCACACAACCTTCATAGACTTTGACATAATGAACAATTCCCATGTTATTTACAGGATAGGGTAACTGTGAACCTCTTGGGGTTCAGGGCTTCATGGTGGATGGTTCCCAAACTGAGCCTACATTCTGATACAAAGACTTCACAACCAAGTGATGAAGACGTTGTTTATGAATCTAAAATTGAACATAGTATCTGCGATTAAGAGGAGATGTACAAACTTAAGACTTTAATTTGTCTAAAATCATGAGCTGTTTCCCAGGTTTGTAAAGCCGGTGGCTTTCGCTGTCTCTGGAGGCAAAATATTCCTCTAGAAATTGATGTAAGAACCATGAGTGTTAACATCTAATCATGACTACGAAGAAACTAAGAAGAAAAAATTACCCCGTATGAGAGTCATGAAACCTGTTATATTTGTTTTCCATTGATTCAAGATCACTGACTGTCACTTGGATGAGTTTCCCTGTGTCTTCAAAAAGAAACCAGACTTGAATTAATAGATGGAGGAAATGAAAAAAGCTTACATCTCTCTCCCAGGTGAGTGAGACAGGGAGTCTGCATGAGCCTCTGCTGCCTGGCAGCTATGAAAAATTGGCCAGGGGCTTTGGTCCCTTGGGGCAGCAGAGAGGGCTAATTGAACAAACCAGTCTTGAGTAATGTGCTCTATGTTGGTGTAATCCTAATGATGAATAGATTTTCAACAACCAGACAAATTCTGTGCAATTTTTTTTCCTAACTTTTGAGGTTGAATATTAATAAAATGAGAATCAGTTTTACGAAGTTCCAGATGAAGTGAAATACCAGTATGTTTTTGTTTTTTATTAGTTTAACCAATGAAATACAAAGACTGAACTTTATCAGATTTGTCATAAAATATCTAAAATTTGAGGCAAAATTGCATACCGCATAAATTACAACAATTTTCAATTTCTGAACAGGATGAAGAGTAAAGGACATTGTCACACATCCAGGTATGACACTCTGTACTACTGTAAAAAGGTCAGGAGGGGAAGATCTCCCTGTGTGAGTCTGTGATGGTTCCTCATCAGCTGAGTCACAGCCACCCTGCTTCATCCACTGGCAGATAAATGAGGTCTTTTGCTGCCTGGTGTGTGTGTGTGTGTGTGTGTGTGTGTGTGTGTGTGTGTGTGTGTGTGTGTGTGTGTGTGTGTGTGTGTGTGTGTGTGTGTGTGTGTGTGTGTTGGTGGGGAACAGCTGTCCATGGGGCAGGGCAACAGCTGAGGATGAGGGGGGCACACGTAGAGACAGCTGTCGCCACTCCATTACTACACATGACACAACTGCCCGCTATAACAACAAGGTGGGCTTTCCCCGGCTGCCCCCCCTTGGCACTTGCCTGGCACTGTTTTTGGCTTATCTTCTTTATATTATTTGGACAACACGAAAACAACGCAAGAGGCCAGTCTGTTAGTTCATCCTCAAAAATCTCACTCAAAAGAAAAAAAGACATTATATAATACCAAATCTACTCCCTAAAATTGATTCATATTACAGAGCAGGGCAGATTCCACAAACCCCTATCCAAAGTCATAAAACTTGGATAACAGCTTTTCAAAATACACACGCACGCACGCACACACACACACACGTAAGCCTTTCAAAGATGTAAATTAAAACCCAATTAAAACATAAAAAATGTTACACTCATTTAAGTGTCTTTAAGGTCCAGCCCTGCTCCTTTTCTTAATTTAACTTCAGACATCTGGGCAGAAAGTTGTTGTTTCAAGGTAAAGGTGTAAAGGTGTAATGAACTAGGAATATTTCATACTATAAAGAACAACTAACTGTGTGCTCAAGTTTTGGTCACGACCAGTCACAGGGTCTCTTTGCTTAAGATCGATAGTGTTGTCATAGCAGCAGAAAACACCATAAATATGTTTCTATTTCTGTATTTTGTGACAGGACCTTAAATACTTGTTGTAACGGTTGTTTCAGTGGCTGTGCAGCTTCCTGTCAGACTGAACTGAGCTTTCCTAGAATGGATTAATGTAGAAATGGTATTAACTGCCTGGGCACAGATAAAGCATGAAGAATGAGCGTAGAATGATTAGAGCTCTTTCACCATTAAAAGGGATATTAAATTAAGTTTAAGCAAAAGTTCTCACATCACTCTGCTTGGGCTTTAATTAATCCAGCGACTGCACTACATAGTAAAAGTAATTAAATTAATTAAACACGTATTCATAAAAGCCTCTTAATTAGCTTGGCTATTTCAGGTCATGGCCTAATTCTAAAACAATCTGATGTGTCACTCACACACATCACAAGTCTGAAAGCAGCGGCTGCTGTGCAGTGCCTGTCTTTTTTCACAGAGAGGGTTTAGTATTGCTGTGATCAGAATAAAACCAAGCTCTGTTGCTCTACCTGGCCGTCCAGATGAGGTGCTGGATGCAGTCACTACTGTTCCCGCTGAGGCAGCCCCCACTGTGGCAGTCAGAGGTGAAGGAGACCCCACGGGTGTCGAGGGGTTGGATGGAAAACTACTGTTAGTGTGGTCAGGTGAGTAAATCTGGAAGAGAAGTGGAAAGAAAATGAGATTCAGCGTTAATGCACCATCAGCAGCTGTTTCTTTAGATTGTATGCAGCTGCAGCATCTTCAAGCCTCAAATGTATCATCCATAATGTGGGCTTTACTGCAAGGGTGTCGTAAAAATGCCGGGTGAATACATATGAGCTAGTCAGACTGATTTGGCCTCAGAGCACGGTCTTCACAAAACGAAGCATAAACAATATTCACTTTGATGTTTGTGAATATATCCACTTCGTTAAGTCAGTGAAATATGGGCGAAAAAGAAACCAAGAGACAGAACAAGATTTCTGCAGAGAAACTCAGAGTCTTAGAAATGTAACTGGAAAACAAGCTCTAAAAAAACTGGACTTTTATCATTATTTTGACTGATTCACTTTTTAATTCACCTGGAAATTAAGTGTAACATGATTATTTTACATCCATGATCAGTTACATTGATTGTGTTTGTCTAACTTATTTAGAAAAAAGACAAATAAAAAGAAAAAGACTAATAAGTTTAAAACCTAGAAAACATGAAGCTAGAGTCTTGGCCAGAGGTGGTTTCAGGATCAGATCCTTCAGGACTCTCAGCCCATAACTGTGATATAGAGAGCTCTTTGCTGAGTTTAAGTGTTACTGCTTAACCAGTCATTTCACTAAAACACAAGTATTCATACATATTGGGATTTGTAGTCACAACAATGACACAAATAATTAACAACCCAAGTTATACAACACATAATGTAAAAAAAAAATGAATCAGAGGGGGTATGGTGTTTTTGTGAATGTATTCACTTTCTACAGTCGCTCTTACAGGTATGATTACTTTATTTTAGATAAGAGGAGATTCAGAAGTTAAAGAAGCCACACTAGATAACAAAGTGATTGACACATAATGCATCATAATGTAGTAATAAACTGTAAACTATAACTCTGTCATGTAATAGACTAATTTCTAAATCAGAATTATTACTTTTACAATATGTCTGTTAAGTTTGTTTAATACGAGTTGATATCCAGTCTCTGAGATGATGGTCTGAGATTCAGGTTGTTTTCTAGATGAAATAACTCAATTTCTTTAAATGTTTTTCACCGTCCTCTCTGCAGAGAACGAGTAGAGTGAAAGCTTTGTATTGTTTGTATTGTTTGTTTTGCTTTTTTTGCATGTTGCATCCTCTGCTAGGTTACACTTGGGTCAGTGAGTTTTAGGATGACATGTCAATCACAAGGGAAAGAGGAGATTACCTCCTCAGAACTTCCACAGGGATTTCATTTGTTTAAACAAATGCTGGATTAAAGCACAAACACATCCCTGATTTTTTTTCTCTGTAATAAGAGGATATTGTGCCATAATGGAGCATGTCTCTGAGAAGTCCGGGTATTACTGCTGGACGCTGACTAATTAGCAGAGAAAAAAAACTGCAGATCCACTGAGATTTCTCGTCCAAGTTAAGACCAAATTGAGCTCAATGAAAAGCGTTTGACTTCTGCAGGGATGATAGAACGCACTCATTATTAATAATCTCCTTATTCAATCTTGATCTCTGGGCTTTAGTTTTTCAATCAACTTGGAGTTTCAGGATGGGGGTTTCACTGAAGTGAGTCGCACAGTGTGGTGGAGGAGGAGGGATAGGCTGTTGTTGGAAAAAAGGAGGAATGATTATTCATGTTTTTTTTTTTCTTTTTGCAATCTGGGAGCACAGTGTTTCTCTCTGCACAGCATTTTCCTTCTCAGACACGCAATTCAGTCAAAAAGTAAGGAGGATTAATATTCCGCAACTAATAAAACTCCAAACAATCCGCCAAATATTTCTTGTTCCTCTAAAGAAAAGAGGTTTATAACCGTGACTTCTGACCCCCAAATATATGACTTTCCTTATAATGGTGCATTTAGAGTGAAACACGGCTCATTTTACTGGAATAAATGAAGCCCCGCCTCATCATCAGTTACGCTCCCGCAGGCGGCATGGGACCAATAAGCACGGCCAATTTAAAAGGGCGGAGAACAAAAGCTCTACAAAGGGTGGCCCGTGGAGTTGAGCCACAGCCGTGTTAAACTCCCCTGTGCCCCTCACTCCATCCACCCGCCCCCCACCCCAGTCCAACCGTGTCCATTTCACTCCAGCTTTGTCATGCTAATAGAGCTGAGTCTGCAGATATAAAGGACTTAATTTGTTATTACCAATGCTAAACTCATATTTTCCCTCCACACTGGTAAGGAATACTCCCCCTAATGTGCAGCTGGAGCCACTTTGGGTAAAATAAACACTTTTCCAAAACCAAACAAGAATATATCGATCTGCACCTCATGTCTATGCAACTGTTTTGAAGGAGAAATTGTTTGATTCAGCTTTTCAGATCCAAAACAGCTTATCATAAAGTAGAATGTAAATTAAATCTCAATGAAAGAAAAAGGCAGAAAAATATTTAATCCCTAAAAAAAGAATCATTTTTCCCTTATCCCATCAAACAAAAAATTCCATTTTCATTTAATGGGAAGTTCACTCTCCCAGATAAAAAAAAAAAAGTCTGAGTGTCCAAGCGTGTGCGTCCATTATTTCCAGTCATACTGTAAACCAGTGTTCTCCCAGGTGGTTCTTTTTGGCCATCTGACAGAATCATGTTTAACAACACTCTATCTCCAAAACCTTCTTATTCATACAACAGAACTTTATTAAATTTCATTGACAGTAAAAATCTAAAAATCAGATCAGTGTAAATCTGTATTTCTGTGAGACTGACATGTTTCCCTCCTTGATAAACCACTGTCAGCAGAAATTATCAAGATGCATTACAGGACGTCAAACATATCTGCACCAGCTCTCCACTGTTCAATGTAATCCACGGGCTTTAGAAGTATTTTGAATGTACAATTCTCTTTCTTGAATACTCTTAGTTTAAGCCCGCATTTATCCAGGCTTAGGCCAAAAAACAACTACGAACATGTCCTCTGGGCTTTTTTAATCAGCAGTCAGTATAGCACTTAATTCCCTGCATGATTACAGAGGTCACCTTCTTTAGAGGAAAAACGAGCCATTATTGTATCCTGTACAGAGATCAACATGACTATGGAGCCTGACTGCACACCAGTTAGACCCAAGTTCAACACCCTGTCGTCGGGTTAATGCAGTGACTTCTGCTGGTGAAAAGGTGAGAAATCCAGACAAAGCTGCACACTAATGATCAGTAACTTGGAAAATTGATCAGGGATATGAGCATTTATGATATCATGTTCAAAGTAAGCATCACATCTGTAAAAACAGCCAAACCAAGACAAACACACAAGCACATAAAACCAAAAAGTATTGTTTATCATGAATGAACCGTCAGTACAGTGGAGGGAATCTTTTCAACAGGGATGTAGAGTCAAATAAATGTGGGCCTATAACTCACCGAGGCTAAAGCCTTCCCCAGTGCGTCTCCAGTCTGTGAGCTTCCAGTGGTGTTCCCTCGATTTGCAGCCGCTAAGAAAACACACAGGAGGAGGTTTTATAGAGGCAAATTCAGACAAATGAAGAGCGATCGCTCTACACAATGCAGCTGTCAAACTGCCTGACTCACTTCTTTTACTGAATGAATAAACAGCAATGATTACATCAGGACCATTGAATTAGTCATTCTGAGCATATAGTTGAACTGTCAACAGGAGAACGCACCCATGACCCCATCGGCCGTGTTGGCAGTCGAAGTGTGCACCGCGCTGACGAATGGGGAAGTGTTGGTGTTGCTCCGATGGAAGCTGGACATAGGTGGAAGACTGGCATTGATATCTGGAGAGACTGAGTGTGGGGGGTAATTCTGGAAGATACGAAAAGGAAAGGGTCTATTTTTAGTCTCCAATGTGTGAGAGTGAGAAAAAGAAAGAAAGAAAGAAAGAAAGAAAGAAAGAAAGAAAGAAAAAAAGAAAGAAAGAAAGAAAGAAAGAAAGAAAGAAAGAAAGAAAGAAAGAGTTTATTTATTCACTGAATTTTATGTCCTCTCAGGCTGTGATAAAGCAAAAGTTACAGGGGGGGACAGTAATAAAGACAAGGCAGGCAGCATCTGCAGGCTCCCTGTGATGCCCAGCCAGCTGAAACAGGCCAGAGCAGATCAAACAGTGACATAAAGAGGGTCAGCAGGGTCTCCACTGATAATAACCAGACCACAGTTTAACACACACACCCTCCAATGACAGGAGCTACGCTGAGTCGGTTGAAGACTGAAAAAATATTTACATGCTCTGTGTGCTTCATAATGCAGATGAAATCTCACAGTGTATCACAGAGTTATTTACAATCTGCTTACCAAACGGTCGTGTGCATGCAGGCTGCTGTAGTTTCCTGACTGTGACATGTGAGATGAAGATCCTGGGAGCATTGCCCCATAGCCGGGCTGACTGATCCCATTGGATGAGTTCCAGGGGTCAGATGAACTGTGGGTACCATCTAAAGATAAGACATGAATCATTTCGGTGTGTTATCGTAAACAACATTTACCCTAAGATTTGAGTACCAGACGGCAGCTAACCTCCATGCCTAAGCTTGGAAATTGGGGTCATCCAAGGAACGCTCTTTTATTTTTGCTCTTGGGACTGAAACATGATCCCTGTCCTGAACACAGCTGAGACAACAAAAAGCTAAAATCAACAAAAGTTTCTGCTTTTCTATCTACATCTGGGAGTCAGTCAAAGTGAAATAAATACAGTGAAACTGTATCTGTCCGCCAGTATCATACTTAAGTTTTGAAAAAATGCTTATCGTGATCCGTTGTATCTCAGACGACTGAATAAGATAACTAAAGATAAGTATCTTGGTTGAGACCTCCTCCTAAATGTACCGGTCATTATTAAGAGTAAAACTAGTGACTGAAGAAGTAAAAATGGAGCTGACTTACTCACAAGTGTTCGGTTTATACTCAAATAAAAAACAGTCATCCCCAACAGAAGCCAACAGGTTACACGATTTATAAGATCTGGTTTGTTTGGCCTTATTGTCGTCCAAAAGGACTGTTTTTCTACAGTTTATCCCAGTCTGTGTTTGGTCAGAATGACTCCGGTGAGAAATAACTAGGACTGTTGACACAATTACTAGGACTAAAACTACCTATTATCATATAAGAAATCAATCTACAGATTTCCTTTTTTATCCACAACATGATAAAACAGTTTTCTCTAAAAATGTGAAAAAAAGACCAAAAATAAATAAATAAAAAGTCAGATTTCTGGAAACTAAAATAAGGTCTTCCAATTTCTTCTTATGTCTGCGAAAACTCCAAATCAAAGACTCTTTATCGCCTTTTATAAATGAGAAAAATAGCTGCAAATCTTGAAACTTAAACTGAAACAAGAAACTATTTGATATTTTGTTTAAAAAAATTACAAAGAGTTTTAATTGTTAGACTGCTTAGTTGAAGATTTACCTTTTCTGACCAATTAAACAGACTGAATGAAAATAGCAAAATGTAAACAGATCACTTTGACACCTGCTTTTGAACTTACCAAAGAAAGTGCTTGCAAACATACTGCTGGAGGGTTTGGGAGAGGAGTACGAGGGTGAATCTCTGTTGAAGTCTTCTGAGTTTGGAGATGGTGCATACACCTACAAGGAGAAAACACATATTACTGATGGTATAATATATTATTAAAATAAACAGTCCATTTTCTTGTCTGAAGGAAATATTTTTGGCATAATTCCAAAGGACAATCATAGTTAGAGTTCGGGTACATAAACATATGAAATATCACTGGCTCAACCCCAAAAACACGAACACCCACACACTTTAATGACTGGTGAGCAATCAAGCTCATGAAGGGAAGAGTGGATTATCAGGGGTATTTGCATTTCAGATCAACTGAACTAATGGAAGTATAATGATACCTGCTTCCACGCATAGACTAAATACCTGGCAAATTACTGCATTCCCGGAGAAGCAGGAATTGACTAAATGGCACCAAAAACAGCCTGCTTTGCTTTCTTTATTTTTCTACCTGCAGGCTGAAGGTGGCACAGTGAAAGCAGAGGCACAATGGACACACTGTTGTACAGCTGTGCGTGTGCCAAGCCAGGCAGCAGGATCAAAGAGACTGGAGGCCAAACACCAGTGATGTGGTCTCTGACTTCATCTACTCCAGATGAAGAAGGGAGAGGAGGTTTGAACAAATTCTCCCTCCCACAGACCAGCCTGGATGACCCCACAGTCGTGTAACTCTAATCAGAGCCAGACCAGCGCGCCTGATTCCACCTGCACATTTGCAGCATGCATGTTGTTTATAGAGATCAATAACAAAGCTATTATATTCCTCAAAGGTTTGACTCTAATGCCTGTACATGTGTTCATTGCCGCAAAGGTTTTTTTATTTGTTTTGGGAGGTTTTATACAGAAATCACTGATGGAAAATGTGTAACAATAATCAAATAATGAATGAAATAAGTTGCTCACACACACACACACACACGCACACACACACACACACACACACACACACACACACACACACACACACACACACACGTGAAGATGCCAGTAATATCAGTTCAAACACGCAGATTAAGTGAGACTCTGGGCTGTCGGACTGCTGAGTGAGCTGGACTCAAGTGTGCTGTTGTCTGGGAGTGTAATTAAAGCCTCCAGGAGGGGTGGGGCTCTCATGGGTCCTCTGGCTTACACATGTGACCAGTGTTGATAGTAGTTCCATAGAGATCTCAGGTTAGCCCCAGCTTTTGTCTTTGGCCTCTGTCAGGCGCTCAATGGGCAGCATATGGCAGCGGATAATGCTAATTGTCCCTTTTTACCCTGGGCTAACCAGTCAAAGCATTAATAAACCATCCCAAACACTGGGTGCCTCATTCCGCCAGCCCGTGGAAGAGAGGGCCCGCCTGGGTTTCCTTTTACAAGGCCATTAATTAAAAGCCGTCACTCACACGGATCAGCACACCAACACAGGCCTACACCAGTTGTAGGCCTGTGCATCAGCGAGTTTCTTTCATAAAAAACAAACTCTCTTATGCCCCTTTTTTTTCCCTAAAATGAAGCACTGTCAAAAGTATCAAATAGTAACAATTCAATAACACTGACCAAAAAAGAAAAAAGCATTTACGGTTAAATAAAAGTTAAATGTTAAATGTCCTTTATACAGAACATGCAAACACAGAGGAATAATTTCAATCTACTGATGTACGGTAAACGATAGCTAGAAGGACATAAAATAAGTCAGTGATTGAAGAGTCATTTTTAGTCCTTTGAGGAATAACGTCCTGCTTTTGAAAAAGAATTGCTGCACTGAGTCAGTGGCTCTGTACAGTGACGTAGCTTTGACCTTCAGTAGCACTCTGCCCCAGCTGAGAGGTTTATACATCCTCAACTTTCTCTTCCACGTCTGCGAGTTTCATGGTATCTGCCTTTAGACATGAAATATCGAAACACAAGCTGTCGACCCGAGTGTGTAACATAATAACAGAACAGTAAATAATAAAACTAAGGGAAATTCAGGTGTACAGCCAAGAGGCTGCAAAGGAAAGAATCAGTCGTCCTCTTTTTGTTCTGAATATCATGAATTAAAATCACAATACTCTCTCTGTGTGTTATTCTGTTTTGAGTTTAGGACTCACACACTTACAGGACTCAACGTGCCAACGCACACAATGCCTCCTCAAACTACTGCTTCGCTCTGCCTGCTTGGAGGGGTGTTAATCAACATTTGTGCGTGACACTTGCCAATACTTGGTGAAAAATACAGAGATGAGTATTTTCAGTTAAAAAAAAAGACATGATATAAAATCTACCAACTGTCGTATCACTGTCCTTTTTTTTAATTTAGTTTGATAGTTTGCTTGAAGCAAGAAACTATGAGCGTGACTGGAATGTTTCCATGCATTTTGTTGAGTGAGAAAAACTTAGTTTTATTTTGCTGAAATTATACTTGAGCAAAAGGGTACAGCTTACATTTACAGCTTTTGGAATTTTGATTGTAATTTCAAAACTTGTTAAAGCATTTAAACACTCTGACATGTACTGTGAAATACTTTAGAGCTTAACACTGACAAAAATATAGAAATCAAAAGGTGTAAAACAGCTCCCGGCTAAAGACAGAATTCTATCATGTTGACTCTAAAATGACATTTATCTGCCTGTTTGCAATGTTTAACAAACTCTAATCAAAGCACACTAATAAGCCCTTAGAAATATGACTGTTGTTGTCCTATATAAAATACGACAGACTGAAGATGCAGCATGTTTGTTTTGATCTTCTTCTAAAGCAAACCTGTAACATCTTACATCTAAACACACATTTCTGACATCAGACTCTCTAAAAATAGATCCACCACACAGCAGGATAGCACATTCCAGTTGCTAATACCACAAAAATGTGGTTTTGCCATCAGTGCAACTTCATTATCTCCTAACAACGTATGCAACATATACACTCAGTATATGATAGTCAACACACATGGAGCCACGACCCCCACTCTCACTCTGAGTTGCACAAGCACCCATGCTTCGGTGCATGTGCAGCACATGTGCACATTCAGGCAGATGTAAGGATTAGCTTCTGGCGATGGGTGCTGACCCCTACAAAGTGTAGTATAACCTGTTGCAGACAACAACTACAGCAAAATAACAACAACAGCCACCACCGAACGGAACGTGTTGTCTCTTGAGTGTAGCTCAAACTCATTTTATGACATTCATCTGGAGGGAGGGATGTTTTTGTGAATCAAAACAAGAGGGAAAAACAGGGCGAACAATCACTGCAGGGCTTTCACTTGATTTTCTTCCTTTTTCACTAATGGGCGACGGAAGAAAGATCAGTGAGTTGCTCCATCTGTATTGGTTCTGTGCCACCAGCTCACAAGCCAATGGCCCACTGTGAATTCTCCCAGAGCTCCAGATGGTGAGCCTGCTATGCAACTCTGCATTAGAACAAATTAGTGTGGATCGAATAGATGCAAAAAATGTTAGGCACCATGTTTTTTTTCTTAGCATGAAAAACAAGGGAAAAAAGTTGGTGCTAGTTTAACGAGTGCTTTTGATCATAAAGTTTGCCCGTTTTGTCCACATGTGATCAATTTTCTTCCCATCACAAACTGTAACACAAGCCTGTTAATACTTTATATCAAAAGATCAAAGTCTCCGTTATGTGTAGAGGGAACAAAGAGGAAACGCGGGTTTAAGAAAATTAAAACACAAGCTTGAGTAGGCTGACCTTTTCAATACAGCATCATAAAAACAGGCTTCATTCTTCCTTTATGTGCCCTTTATGTAATAGCAAAAACAGCACATGCAAAGGCAGGTGGAAATCCGCCTGTGTAATTTGCTTATGACAGGATCATTACTTGAGGATTACTGTCACTCACAACAGATCTTGTTTAGCCTTTTCAAAACTACATCCTCACACAGATTCATACGCCTGAAGGAGCGTTGATGATGACTTTGACCATCAAAGAAACAGGAGGATTTATTTCATGTCTTTTAAAACTGTTTTCAACACAACCTGTCTTTAAATCAATATCCTTACTCAGAACTGTAAATCCTAACCAAGTCCAAGTGCAACACACACACACACACACACACACACACACACAGTGGTTCACAGATTTAGGAACTAAAAGCGTTCTTGAGTAGACAACATTTTCAAACTAACAGAAATCAAAGAGGTCATTACAGAGAAGTTCAGAAATCACATTAAGCTCCCTGTGGTGTGAAGAATGCCGATGTGATTAAAAACAGATGGAATAACAGCAACACTGGTGCTTGGAGCTCAATCTGCAAACAGGAAAGTCTAACCTCAACAGGCAGCCTCTTTCCCTTAATCATTCCCAGACTCCCACTTGTTATTATTTCAGCCCCGTCTCGGAGCTCAAGCACCCAGCCAGTAAAAATAAATTCAAGGCTGCAAAAAAACTTTTCGTGCCACAGTGCAGTTTCATTCTGTGTGTGAGGGAAAGTTTGTAAATGACAATGATTTTTGTCTAGAGCGCTCACTAGTTTGTTCACAGATGAGGTACAAAAGTTGCACAAGTGTAAAAGTTAAGACAGTTGTTTTGTGTTACTAAATTACAAAGTCACTCAGCTTTAACTGATGTCATGGAAAATCAGGGGGAGAGAACCCTCAGGCACATGCATTCAGACACTCACACACATACACACACACACATACACACACACAGGAGCACAGTGCTTTATCTTGATTCAACTGAAAAACTACAATTATTGACACAAAGACAGTTAGGGGACAGGCAGAGTACACACTCACACACTTCTTCCAGCTCTTCTTCCTCTAATACACACATTCCCAAAGAGAGTACTCACCGATTTCCCGTTGTAGTAATACATTAAAGAGTTACTGCCCATTCCAGGGACAGGGTAGGCGCAATACATTCTAGCTTTAACTATTTCAGTGATAAAGATACTCAACAGCAGCACACCAGCCTTCTCTACACATACATCCAAAGCGCTCAAAAGAGACTAATAATTCTCAGTCCTGGCCTCCACACACGACCCACTCAGAGGAAACTTATGCAAAGCAGGATTATACCATTGCATGGCGAGGGAAGAGGGGTGGGAGTCAGAAGGGAGTGGCTCAGATGGTACGTCCCTCTCTTAAGCCTCTGAGTGCTGAGGCAGAGAGGAAAAGGGACAACGGGGAAGGGGATGAGATGGGGAGGAGGGGGAGGTAAGGGGAAGATAAAGGGAAGTGGGCGGGACAGAAAACAAATGTGTGAGCGGATTTAGAGAGAGAGGGAGAGGGAAGAGAGAAAATAAAATTAATTTCAGGCCTAAAAAATGAAGATTTTCTGCAGGGGGAACCCCAACAAACTGGAACTAAAATAATTTCACCCTAAGAAGGATTAAAACATTAATATGAGTAATTAAAGGGAGAGCAAATGAGTGCATGAGTAAGTGCTCTACACATTTTAATCCCAAGTGTCTAATCTTTTTGTTTTTGTGATGATTAAATGAGTCTCCAGGCATGCAGGGAGGTAAAATATAGCGTTAGCAATCTGGCAACACATTTCACCTGTTCCCACACATGGCTCACTCAACAATTAAGAGTCTTGAGGGAGAGAAAATGAAGGCTGAGGATATGGGAGGAAAAAAATTGTAAAGCATACATCAAATCCCCGGAAGTGAGAGGGGAAAAGGGGGACAAGCAGTGTATTTATTAATGTGAAATATGTTAGTCTCAGTGCTGGCAGAGTAAGACCTGTAGCTGAGAAGTGGCTGTAAACACAGAGTTGTGAAGCATGCAACAGCTGCAAAGGGGCTGGCTCGTGACGTAGGAACATGAAAATAATGCTCCATTTCCTAAACCCCGGGGGCCTCAGACAGGGGGGAGAAATGAGGGAGGGAAGGGAGGTTGGGGGGAACCAAACAACGACAGCCATTTTGCCATGGTTTACGTTCACTGCGAGCCACACAGCTCCCCATTACCTTTATCATGTGGGGAGGAGGGGGGAGCAAAGGAGAGGAGAAGAAAGGGGAGGAAGAAAGGATAGATAGCATATTCCAGAGAGAGGCCGGTCTGTACAGTCAGGACTGGATCCCTTTCATCTCCACCACTCCAAGCTTCCTGGACTAAACACAGGCCTGCAGACTCATTGAGAACATTATTGTTATAGAAAGATGAAAGCTTCCACTTCCCTAAGAAAACTAGGCCTTTATTATGCTTTTCCTTTTAGTGCTGTTATTATTTATCCCCCTTTCTTCTCCAGGACTCTTTCAAACTGGGCCAAAAACACTGGCTCTACATGCGGTTACTGATTTAAATCTGGCACTGTTTCAAGTTGATGCTTTAAGGAAAACTGGTAATGATAGAAGTGTTTGAAGGGCTCCAAAACAAGTCCAGACACACCGCACAGAGTCACAAGAAAAAACACATGAAAGCAGCGAGAAATGATGAACACATATCTTCCCAGTGATTCAGTACTCTGCTAGCCCAATTCTTTTAATACAGACTCTGCAGGACACATGACGATTATGTCTAGGACTTAAATCAGATTATGATTCAAATATATACATTTAATTAGAGTTTTAAGATTAAAGAGGAGGACTGATTTTACAGAACATGTGATTTCAAGCAGTCAGACACATGAGAGAAAGAGGCAGGGGTATGCTAGGGCTGAAAAAAATGTTAGTTACTGTAGATTGGCTCAATTGGTCAGCCTCTCAACATGGACCAGTGACAGTGATATTCAACTCATCTGAAAAATACATCCACAAATCTATTTAAAAGTCATAGAAAAGACTGATTTCAACATGAATCTAATCCAAACACTCTGAAAATGATTAATAGTGATGGCTCAAAATGACTTACAAAAGCAGACAAGACCAAAAATCTGTCAACCCATCTAAATGGTGAGATTTGATTATATCTTAAAGAGCTAATAGTGCCAAAGACCCCCCTGGGACACTGCACACCCAGCATGCAGTCAGATCTAGAGTCTCCTAAAAGTCGTATTATCTACCAGTCAGGGTCCAGGGGGCGGGTACCCTCTCTAGGCTGAAACCTTACCTTTATGAAAAAGCCTAACTTAGGGCTGGCCCAGGCTTGGATCAGCTCTTAGCTATGCTGTTGCAGGCTTCAACCTGGTTTATACTCTCATGCTGACTACATCAAAGCTATTCTCTGGTGGCTGATGGCGTCCTGAGAGCAACAATGAGAGTGACAAACCCCCAGACACAAACCCTCACCCTGTCAGGATTCTATTTAGCATAACCACCGCATAACGAAACCTTAACTTACATAAAGCTAGTGTTAATTTCAAAACAGCTGAACTCCAACTGCTTTAATTGATATTACAGTTTCCAAGGCAAGCAGCCTTTTACCATTTTTCACAGCAGTGAGCTCAACCTTCGGCTTTTTAGAGAAAGCAGGATGAGATTTTATTTAAAAATGGGTGTTGAAAAACATGGAGCAAATCTCCCAGGCTGAGGTCACTCCCGCCTCACTCATGGATTTAGTGATGATGTCATCAGACAGGAAGATTGTTTCCTGTAAGGAGTTCTGGTTCTAATTAGAGGGGGCTGACTCGGAGAAAGGGGGGTGAATACACAAGGGATTCAGACCCCCATCCTCTAAAACCCCCGACTGTATCATAAATGAACTGATTATGAAACAATCATAATTCAAGCTTTCAGCAGTGTTGATCGAGTTAAAGATAAGACTTTTTCAGATCTTCTTAAAGCCATTAGAAAATGTCAAATTTTTTATAGATAACCAAAGGTTTGAAAGTATGTCCCCACAGTTGTGTTCAAAAATGTTTAATCATAGCTCTTTTTATCAATAATCTCATTGGTTGTAAAACAAGCTTGGAATACAAAACACACAAACACACTACATGAAAATGCTCCTGAGATCGTAGTTAAGTGTATTCATGAAAAAAAAAAACAGATTTTCTTTTCTTTTCTCTTGTGTTTGACCGCACAGGCAAATGAGAGTCCACCACAACAGAATTTTTTTGTTTTCTCTGTTTAAATGAGTGAATTTTCTTACCAGTTGCACCTGTAGCTTACAGTAGTGCTCTTCAGATACCTCTTACAAATGTTGATTAAACTATCTAAGTCAGACAGAACTGAAAAAGGATCTCTAAGAAGTTGACACTTGAATGGATCCACTAACATACAGACATTATGAGCTGTAATTGTCTGATGGGATCTGTCTAACACTTGGATTCTGCTTTTGAAATCAGTGGTGCTGTGGCTCAGCAGTCAGTCGTCCTTTAAACAGAAGGCCAGGAGTTCGATCCCATGTCCTGCTATCCACATGCCAAAGTGCCCTTGGGCAAGACACTTAACCTCCAACTATCCTGACTTTTTGTAACCCTGAAGAGTGGAAATGGGATTATTTCAAACTGACGGGGGACTTAAAAACCAGCCTCTGACACAGTGTATGAATGCAGTGTGAATAGGTGGGACTTGAAATGTAAAAGCACTTTTAGTAGTCAGAGGACCAAAGAAACACAACATGACAACAGTCCATTTACAGTTTACCAAATTATTATGGGCTTAGTAGCTATACAACAAGAAGAATCAAAATCAGAGGATCTCATTCATGAAATGATAATAAATTAGTGCAACTGAATTTATTTAACGATTAAGTCAGCCCTAAGCTGATTCCACACACTGTTTGGTATAAACAGGATATTCACCCTCTCTATCTATTACAGTGGACTGGTGTGACTTATCTCTGAGACATCACATTGTACGTGACCCCTGACCTGCAGCTGAGTCCTGAAGTTAAAAGCTTTATGTTGTGCAGTGATGTGTTTTTCTGTGTAGCATCAGCCTGGTTTAGATGTTTCTAAATAACAAACATCCACCTTGGTAAATGCTGACAGCCTCTATTCTTGGGCCTGCCAGTAATCTAAAAATCAAGGTTTGCATTAATGCTGGAGACTCACGCAAGCTCTACATGAATAATTTACAACAGGCCACAATGTGAGTAATGACTTTAATCTGTGCATTATTTTCCTGCTCTTTGTCCTTTTAACTCCTTGTTCTCCTCGCACATGAAAGAGGTCAGGCCTCTGGCTTGTTTGCCTGCTCTTTTATCTGCAGCCTCTAATGTCAGTGGTAAATTTCAACAACCCAAACAAAGATAAACACGAGGCCCATGGTCCCAGGGGTGGCTGTGACTGTTCAGCATCATCCCTGTCAAACTGAGGGTGTCTATCTAATCAACCATCTGATGAGGCTAAGTCTCTGGGGAGCTCACAAACTGAGGCTGGGTCAGAGCCTAAAATGTTGTAGCCTGCAAACAAACCTCCCACATGCAAAAAACAGACACAACAGAATGGTGTTATAAACCCTCTAAATCTATATACATATGTTATGCAATTTTTATATGCATGACTGAGACTGATGCAGTCATGTTTCTACTGAAAAACTGCAAAAAGCAGAACATTTTTATATTAAAAACCCATATAGATTCAAGTAAGCCACACAAACACGCACACACTCAAAACTAAATCTAAATTATTTACAGAACAAATGCAAAATTCCTTCAAAAGCCTGACAGATCAACAACTACTGACAATAAAAACACACAAAGATAGCTAAAATATGCTGAAGGAAAACCAGCACTTAGATCATTAAAATTCTTTACTTGAATGTGCCTACTCAACAAAACTTACTCTACAAAAACGTACTTATTTCACAACATTCACATTATTTCTATAGAGCTGAAAAGAAACATTTTTTATCTTAAACTGAGAATCAAAAGGATGGTTTTTGACTTTGGGTGGTTATAATCTGTCCTGCAGTTGTTTAAACAGTTTTTGGATCAGCAGAAATCAAAACCACACAAAAATCGTTTCTTAAGATTTAAAACAAATTACTGATACAAACTCACAACAGATTTTTTTACACACACCAAATTAATACACAGGAAGAGAATCTTAAGTTTTCAAGAATATACAAAGTAATCAGTCGTTTTGCTAAACTGACAAATGAAATGCAGACAGAAATCCTCTGTGTATTGGAAAGTCTGAAATGCCTGTAGAAATTGTGCTGGCCTCATTATTCACAAAATGTGTCCTCTCCTGACCTGCCTGCTTCATTGTTTTTCATCTTAGCGATACGAGACTGTAACACAGGACTCTGTCTGTGGTGCCATCACCACACAATGAAATGTTTTTTGGAGAATCTTCATAAGATGTCACAAAAACAATCATCTGCGCTTGTCTTTGCTCTATAACCGCCCCAAAAGGCGCACTTAGTGCATCTGTCTGTGAATTCCAGATCAGAATGTCAAAGAGAAAAATATAACTTGTGCAAATATTTATAACTCTGCAGGATGGACCCAATATCTGATTTTGCAGACAGACTTTAAAGGCCAAGACTGAATGTTTACTTAGAGCTTTATAAATGCATTTCATCCACAGTCGATTCATCAAACCTTGTTACTTTGTTCTAGCCTTCTGTGGTTCAAAGAAGTCAAAAAAGGAGCAGCTTCCTCAGCACAACGGGACACTGGGTTACTTTTGTAGTACCACGTTCCGATCTGTTGTCTTTGATTCGTTAAAGACAGATGCACATAGAAAGACAGAACATCATCTGAATGTCATTCACTAGACAGCACTGCGAGGAACATTTCTGGGTCTTAAGATTCACAGCCCAGAGCAGACTTCATTTCTTGCAGTGCGCACAGTACAAATCTCTCAGAAACAAGGGTGTCTGAGTGATCTGTCAAAAGCAAATGTCAATCTATTTTGTCATCCACACTCAGGGTTCTCGCTTGCAAAAGCCCCCGAGGGGAGCTGAATCCCTGCCCACCACTTTCTTTCTCTCATCCTGCAGCCATATCATCACCAAAGCCAGGTAGGAAGTGTCACATCGAGCCGCAGTGCTTCTGACAAGGGGTTTGTAGGGGGGAAAGAAAACACTACTTACACAAACAAACTGACACACACACACACATAACACATACACACCATGCCCTTGCAGCCTCCCATAAATATCCTACAAGATGCAACTTTCCCCCACAAGCCACAACCCCCCCGTTCCCCCTTCTCTCTCTCCCTCTCCGTCTTCAGTCCTCCTGTCAGACAGGTGCCCACGCAGCTGCCCATCAGCATCCCTCAGCGCAGCCGCCTGTCTGTCCAATGACAACACGCTCTGTCCTTCGCTCTCAGTGCTTGGTTTATACAGTCAAATAATGCAGGGAGCCAATTATAGCCAAGGTGTCTACTGTAGCAAAAATAAAAAGGAAAGCTGTCACACTAGAGCGCTGTAAGGATGTTTCTCTTTCCCACTGACAAATTTGTCAACAAAGTTTACAATTTTTTCAAAGTTCCCATTCTGCATTTGTAGAGAGAAAAGTGAAAAGCTAGTATAAACAATATGTCAAATAATGGCAAGTATTACTTATACATCTTACACTAACAATCACATGTGCGGTATCCAGTGTCTGCGAGCGGCACACATCCAGAGAGCGTGTGTGTGGCTCAGAGAGGAGTGTGTCTGTATATAACTTGAAAAGAACCTACAAACATTTAAATGTTTGCAATCAGCAGCTGGCCTGTCCAGATAGCCTTCACATCCTGGAGCTCTGCAGTGTCAAAACCTAAATGCACACAGGATGTGCTCCCGTAAATATTTTGATTCAGCTCCATCATGTAGTGTACACACACACACACACACACACACACAAACACACATCATGCTTGGACTTGCGTCTCATTCTGCCCAAATGATTTAAAACTCTTACATTTATTTTTAGACTGGGGAGCAAGAATACAAGCTCGGGGAGGGAAAAGGGAGATTTGGGAGTAAAATAAATAAATAAGAAAATTCCCAGCAGTAGACATAATGATAGGAAGCGTTGTGTTGATTTTTTTTAAATCAGGCAGCTATTCAGGTCTCTGGTGGGGCTCTCACGCCTGCTTACACAAGCAAAAGCTTTCAGTGGTGTCTGCAGCTGCATTTATGTCGTACAGGTATGCTGCAGGCTCTTCACACAGCTGCCTCGGGCAATGTAGCTCTGACTCCAGGTGCACCTTCCCCCTCAACACTTTTTTACAACCACCTTTGCTGCTAGAGACACCAACATGGGTCTTAGATGATAGCAATATTCATAAATGCAATATCACATTCTGCAAGAGCCAGTGTACACATATCAGAGGCCACGAGAAGCTCTTTACACCATTCAATAGTTAAAACATCACCTCTGCTCACCATCAGTCTGATACCAACACCTCTTAAAAGCTGCCAGACAACCTCCCACTCATACATTTCCACATTTACCACCTATCAAAAACCTGGCTTTATGTTTTCCTTTCCTCGTCAGCAGGTTAAAGGAGACCTATAGACCTGTATTCAACACTACCATCTTTATTCTTTCAAATGGGATCAAAGACTAACGGGGATAATTCCTCCAAGCTCCAGGCTTTATCTCCTGAGCACCACTGAGTGACAAGAAGAAGCTGTATTTTATCCTATGCTCTGTCACTGTTTTTCCCCATCCTGCATTGTACCACTTGATAGTACTCTTATGAGTCACAGAACCGCACCTGCGCCCATGTGTTAAGTACTGACAAATAAAAGCCCAGCGTCCATTTACACAACAAAGAGATGTAACCCGTGAGGCAGCCATTCTTCGCCTCTCTCCCTCCTTCTGACAAGACCTCAAATATATCACTTACTTAAGAGGGAAGGCAACGCACGTTCCTGCCGCTGCGTCTTTCCCTCACACACTGACAAACTTCTTTTCAAACACAAATCCAGAAACAAAACACATGCCAGCCTTTTATGTTCCGCAGCCTGTTCCATATTTGATTTCAGAGGAACAGCAGCAGAGGTGACGATTATCAAAGCTCTGAGAAGCAAATCCAGTCTCAGACTCCCTCACCGAAAAGGAAAAAAAGAAAACCCTTTTATTGTTTAAGGAAGAAAAAGGTAAACCAGTTGCTTCTTCTATGAGAGAGAAAACAATTCATATCCTAAACCTTTTCTCTGATTTTAAGGCAAGGATTAATAAAACCTTTACCAATCCACCAGGGTTTTAACAATGAACATCTGACTTAGTGATTTATGCATATTAATGAACTCCAGCACCCCCTGTCTAAGCAACTGCAAGCTGAGCTCCTCTCTTTTCTGCATCCTAATGGTTTCTGCTCCACTGGGATCATTACCAATAGAAATTTCAGATATTCTGTGCTATTAATCTTTGTCTGTCCTCCTGTTTGGCTACGTAATGACTAATTAAACATCAAAAGGGCAGAGCTAGGGATCCACTCTGACAGCCTCTCTCTCTCCCAGGAGAGGCTGTGAGGAGGCTGCACTGTGACAGGGCAGCACTGAAAAATCAATCACATCGAGGTGCACATGTATATGCATACACACGCACAGACACGCACGCATAAAAAAATGTCAGAAAGAGTGGTCTAAAAAGACTCTAACACACACATATAAACAAAGGAGCATGTAAACAGCCAATATTAAAAAGCAGAACTCTCTGAATTAATAGACACCCCCATGCCACTGCTCAACACGGCCCACAAAAACAAGAGAATTCCCGGTTGTGATGTCAAGTGATGCCGTCGTGAAGTCAAGAGCGCTCTGTGTGTAAGTGTTGAGTGTGAGTGTGTGTGTGTGTCTGCTGAAGTCAGCTCACTGTGAAATCTATTTATATGAGAGGTAGATGATCTTCCACTCACAGATGAAGGCAGGCCAGGAGGGACCTTGCGAACCTTTTTTGTTTGTAGAGGATCTGTGGAGAGATGAAAGCACGTCTATTTGTTCACAAAAAAAAAGGCATCAAAGAAGGTGTTCTGAATAAGCTACAATAACCCCCCCCCCCCCAAATCTCTACAGTGTGGCATTGTTCTGTGATGATCACAATTTTGAAGTCAATCATTATTTCGATTTAATATTGTTGTTTCAAAATACATACACCAACATCGGTCCACATCGCTGTACCAAGAAGAATTTTAGGTAACACTTTATTTGACGCCTTTCTCTTTAACGCATTATACATATATTTATAATGTGTTATAATCAGGTTATAGCACTGTATAATAGTATAGTTATAAACACTCATAAATGATCATAATGCTTTCAAGCAATAATAATAACACATTATAAAGCATTTTATCATGACTTACAAGGTCAGGTATTATAATGTGTTATAACTGTGAACAACAGTTGCATTGCATTATCTATGTGGGCATTGTCAGTGAGTTGTTAACAGTTATAACACATTATAATACCTGACTTTGTAAGTCATGATAAAATGCTTTATAATGTGTTATGATTATTGCTATAAAGAATTATGATCATGTATGAGTGTTTATAACTATAGTCATACAATACTATAACATGATTATAACGTATTATACATGTATTTAAAATGTGTTACAGAGATAGGCGTCAAATAAAGTGTTACCGAATTTTATTACCACTGTATCGTTTAGTGATCATTTCTTTCAGGGGCAAAGCTTAAGCGTCACTGAATATGTTCGTTTTATTTCAGAACTGCATGAAGAACATTTGTTAATGATGAAAAACAACTGACTTTAAGAAAACTGGTATATGTTCAAATAAAAATACAAATCTAAGTCATTTTCCTCTATAATGATATAAGTGGCACTAACCGATGGGCGGAGCATCTTGTAGAGAACGTCTTCTAGGATTGGCTGCAGTGAAAGAGTACAACGGCGCCGCTGACTTCCCTGATGGAGTCACTGGACTTGGACTGGCTAACCCAATGTCCGGCCTCACAGAGGACTGGAAGAGAGAACAAACACGAGAATGCTGTAACTCAAGTAAATGATCAAGCTCCTTTGTAATGTGTTTACTTCAGTTGTGTGTGGCGAAACAACCAAACAGTCATCTTCAAATTACACATCAGAATTTATCAGGATATGGCTTTTGTCATTTTTTGTTAAACATGCTAGATAAGATATGAAGAACCTTTTTCATCTCTGACGGGAAATTCAATGCACATCCATAGTAATAAATCTTTTTTAAACCCGTCTGCTACATCCTATCTCAAACGTTTTTCAACCTCAACAACCCTGACAAACTGGGTTAAGAGGCCAATTAAGGACTTGGTCTAATTAGAGTAATCGGCTGCAGACCAGCAGAGCAGGGATCATGTGAGGCCAGTGTGTAGTAGCTGGCTTAAGGACAGGCCTCACGTGCCCTCTTGGAAACCCCTTTACAGGATTACACCTCTGTGGGGATTGACACAGTAACCTTTCTAACAGCTTTGATTCCTGATTGATAAATCCGACACACGTTCTGACACATTCAAAACAATCCAAAAAAACTCAATCTAGTAACAATATCAAAGGTATTACAAAAGAAAGATGATTATTTTGTCTGATCTGAAATGTGGGTCAGGAAAAAGCTGTTAGGGACAATGCTACACAAATTCATCACAAAAAAAAGAGAAATAATCAGGTTTTATAAAAATAGAGATCTGACATAGTGCAACAGCATTCACATGGTAAAACAGACCCACTTCTGCTGCCTCTTTGTTCAGAGAGAGAAAAATCTGTGCAGAAACCCGGCTCAGCCCTCTTTGACTTTATCATCAAGATGAGGATGAGGACGCTCTCTCAGACCTCTGTGTACAAATCTTAATTAAGTGCTATTTACTCAAAACAACTGCAACTTCAGATTACACTAATTTACAAATTACATGCATCTTAGAAAGTCACTGTGTGACAATGATATGCTGCAATTCCGATCTGAAATGTTAAATTATTTGCAGCTCATTTAGGGTTCACCTGAGCACTAAGTCAGAGTCTGAAAAACCCCCACAGTGGGGCTCTGCTCCAAGCCTCAGGAGTCACGTGCCACATCAGGCAGTTTGTAGGTCAGGATGCTCAGGAACTGAACAGAACTACCTGCCTTGTTGCAAGTAAATAACTGGATCTTTTGTCTTCTTTAGTTACTCAACAGAACACAGAAGGAAAGGTTGCACTGCGATGTCAGATTGAAAATACTCAGCCGTTCAAAATACTTTGCTTTGTAAGTCATTCGCTAGTTTAAGGCCATTTATTTTCATCAAGTTGTTGATCCTCTTCCTATCATACGCTGTTGAGATTTGCTGCAGAGAGATGCTGATTGTAAGGACTTCCTGTCAATTGATCTGCAGCTGCAGATGTGTAAATATCTCCCTGCAGCTCCCACTCAGAATTGTTTCAACAGTATTCCCTCAGAAAACTGTTTATATAAAGATGAGACGACCTCCTTCAATTTTTGCTTTATCTTATCTTTAGTTTTTATCTCTTTGTGATTACGAAGTGTCCAGCATGAAAAGGCCAAAATCCTTTCAAGCAGAATTGTATTGGGGATAAATCCATTTCTAATAGTGACAGAGGCTCCTCGACTTGGCCTCAGACTCTTTTTCTGAATTAAAAGGCTTCTGGGATCCTTTTGGCTCCCAAATGTTCAAAATTTCAAAACTCAATTTGGGTTTTTATCTTTTTAAATCTTGGACTCATACAAACTAGAATCTTTTAAGTCAGTTCTCAAATCCCTACAAAGCCAACAAAAGGAATATACAGTGGATAAGGCTATGATAGTAACAGAGGCGAAATCCTGACTGATGAGTTTTTGGTGTTTACAGGATTTAATTAGATGGAGAAGGAGAGATTAAGAGTGATCCAACCTTGATTACATTCAGGCATGACATCCTTAAAACTCCATTATACAAAGAGAAGACAACAAGCGTCTAACTAGAGAGAGACATTCAGTCTTGTGAAGAACCTGATCACTCTCTATACCTGAACTCAGGAGAGTCATTATGTTTTCCTCATGAATCCTCCAGACGAGTGTCAAAATTTAGAAGGGGTAATACTTCTTTTTGGTCTGCTGAGCATACACATGTCGCACAATATAAATAGATTCTTGATCTGAAAAATACCAAACCAGCACTTGGCTTCAGCGATTAAAGCAGCAGGGGGTAACATGACTGATGAGAAACTCACCTGGCAGCCGGATGCACCAGGATCCCTCCCAAAGCCAAGAAATTGAGCCCTCTCTGATTTACCTGTTGAAAAGTAGAGAGCACATTCAAAACTATTGTCCTCTGTCTAATTCTTGAAGGCACACATATTCAGCATATTAAATTATGATGTACTTAAAGCTTCATTTTCACATAAAAAATGAAAATAAAATATATGAAATTATTCCTTTTTGTACCTAAATGGATATTTTTCAGATATATCAATGTTTGTGTACAATAAAACAGGTCGTCACATATACTGAATTATTATTCATAGTTGAGATCCCCTTCACCAATACAAGCTTTCTCAGTTTGGTCATTAAAAAGGCAGACTGACCAGCCCAGTTGCATCAATTAAAAACATTTAGAGGGCCTTAAAACTTGTCAGTATCACAAACAAGGACTGCCTGAGATAGCTTTATTTTAAATGTACAGGACACATAAGAAAAACAACACACTGTCCTTACATCTTACTGATATTATTCAGAATGATTTCCTGTGCATAAAAGTTGAAACGATTCATTACTAACATGTTAAAATATGCTTGTTTCTTACATGCAAACAATCGATGTTTTTGTAAGTTGTACTGATCATGCAGAAAATTATCACAGGTCCAAATATGTAAACAATCACAAAAAAGATTAGACGAGTAAACAGGGAAAGTCTGAATGTTTGCTGTAGAACAGTTTTTCTCCTTAGGGACAAAAGCAAAGGTGTTTTTACGCACTCAGAAATGCCATTTGTACATCCCAAAGGTCAATCTTTGTGTACTTCATTAAATACCTCTGTTTGGGTTGGTGTCATTCAGTTTTATCCATCTTCTACTTTTACATGATTTGATTTTGGCAGGAGACAAACAAGAGAGGAAGGAAGGGGGGACAGCGTCTGACTGACATCTATCTGACCAAATGTGCAGTTTATCTGAGCTTCTAAAACAGAAACACCAAATGACCTTAGATTTCTACTGCTGTGATTCACAGACATGTGCCTCAATATGTTTGGATTCCATGTATTTAATGTACTAAACCCTTAGAGAGAAACATAATGTGTTAAAAAGTGGATTTTTTTCTGTTCTCTAAGTTACGTTGCTCTGACAAACCTCAAATTCTGTACTTTTGCATCCAAAAACTTTTCAGTGGCTTAATGACTGATAAAGTTGTATTTGTTGGGCAGTCCTTCTATCAATGTCAGATCTGTTTTTTTTTTACACCTCAAAGGAAACAGCCATAAGGGGAAAATAAAACTTACAGTGCAACACACATGAATCATACACATCACAACATCCACACTCAGCAGTTTCACTCCGCTGTAAAAACAAACAAACAGAAAGCGAGAGCTCCTCAGGGAGGATGATGAATAACTTTAACAGCATCGTACATTATTTTTGTCAGACATCCAAATATTACAAACACAGACACAAGCGCTGGAACTAAATTCTGTTTACTCTGGGGAAAAGGTAAATATCTTTTTGTGAGGTAAAAACTTGCATAGGCCTGATGTTTCGTTACACAATGACTGATCTGAACGTTGCTTCCACAAGCGCAGCTGAACTGAGGCACATCTGAGAGAATTCACTTGTGCTTATCTGAGCAGTCCTTCAGGAGACAGTTGCTCTGCGTCTGAGCAGCAGACTGCCTCTGAAGACTGAAGGAAGCTGAGGAAATCAGGAGAGATGGTTCAACTGGCAAAGCTGCTTCTCCTGTAACAATGATGAGATACACTTCTGTGACATCGCTCTCCCAAAAGAAAATAGGATTAAGTTGTCGGTAACCACCAACGTTCCCAATCATAAGGATGATGAAACATCTCCTCTGACAGAGAACTTTAATTTCTTTATTTTCTGTCTAATATTCACGGCGGCTCAGTGAAATCTCTTTTTGTTCCTGAAATGTCTTGTGAGGAAAAGGTCTGTTTAAGTACAGAAGTTAAATATTTATTTAGAGCATGTGTTAAGTCACACACACTGTGTCCTGTGTGAATAATTCATGGTCACTGTTGTAGTTTCAGGGCCCACCTTGGCAGACAGACGTTTGTTTGTAAAGACAATGTTTGGGGCCATGTCATGAAACAGTCACACAGCTTCCCAAAACCCTGGAGAACTGAGCTGCCACATCGATGAGGCCTTAAGCTCAACATCACAAAAAAACCCGCCAAAAATCAAGAAATCATGACAGACAGCAGCAGGAAGATGCCTCTACTGCATTTGTAAGCAATGACACAGCCGTTATATCTGCTTATTTTATTCTCACGTACAATATGAATATCAATTTAACGAGCTTCCTATGTAAACAACAAACTGATGAATGTGACATCCAAGCTTTGATTCAGTATTCATACTCTGTTACACGCCTTTATTTCTGTTTGCTATGCGGCATGAAACTCTGCATGAAGTCATATTGGGGCTGAGACGTAATAATACTTGACTTAAAAAGTACAAACTGAACCATGTTCTTCTACAGGAAGTAGATCTGGATTTACAAAATCTAAAAAAAGATCAAAACAAAGTCTGTCCTTTTTAAATTTGACAGACAGAATCGGTTCACAAGGGAGAAACACCATTAACAACATTTTATAATGATCATTTTACCACCACTGTCCATCCAGTTTATATGGGAAAATAGTACAGTTAAAACTATTCAATCTGCTTTTAAACACGATCAAATCTTCTTTTTTAACACTGAAAGGCTCTAAAACTTCTGAAACTGGGAAGGATGACCGTTTGGTTCAACTTGAAGAGACACCTACATGTACATTATTTCAAAGCTCAATACTTTTCATGTGTTTACTTGAAATATAGAAGAAGCTGTTATAGGTGAATGTGTAAAAGAAAATCAAAGTGCTTAAAGCCAAATAATTTTTATCAAGGATTCTCTGAGCTAACATTTTCTCTGTCCACTGATCAATAGTTGGATCTTTAAAGGTCAGAAACTGGTGAAAAGTCTTGATCTGAAGGCCAAGTCAAAGTAATATATCTCGAATGTTTTTCTTTTATTATGATCCATAGATAGCTAGTGTATAAGGAGGTTTAAAAGTCGGTATTTTATGAAGTTAAATCAAAAACAGCATGAATCAAATTTAAGCACCAACCACAGGACCAAGGTTGCTGTAAACAGCCATTCAGCTTCCTAAATAGGTTGAAAAGAAAAGAAAAAGCAGCAGTGCTCATGAAACTGTACTTGTGGGCTGTCTTTCATAGACGTAATGGATTAGCAGCGCTCCTTTGTTATTGAGTTTTGATTTGAGAATACAAGATACGTCAGTAGCTCCACCTTTAACTCCTCTGCAGCTTCACTCCCCCAAATCCTCTCTTGAAAGTCTTGTGGAAAAAACCAGCATGAGATTTTCTTTCTTCAGCAGATCTGTCAGATGGAAAAGACACAGTCTCACAGACGTCAATGTCACTCTTAAAGCTAGTCTCTGTATTTTTATGAAAAAGACTGTTTTAATCCTTTTAACTTTATATTGAGGGAAAAACATGAGAGCAACCCCCAGCCTGGGAAGGCAAAATCTCTTCAAATTTTAGGAGCAAGCAAATTACATGAGAATGTAGGTGAAGTAGAACAAAAGAGATATATTAAGTAGGATAATTGTTGATGAATAAGAACTGAATTAGTAGAATAAAATAAAAATAGCCCCTTCTTCATAATGCGTCACAATCCCTCGTCTGAGACACAAATTCTTTGACTCCTCATGGGGGAACAGGGACACTGTAAAATATGCACTTCCAAATGACACTAAAATCAAGCTGTTAAACCTTCAGTCCTCTTTTTGAAGTGTTTGACTTTGAAATGCGTGCTTATAAATCAAAGAGAAATCTTATGTCACAAACAGAAATAAATTAAAGCACTTAATCAGTTTCATGAGTTACAGGCTTTGTGTTACCTCCTCTGAGCAGACCAAAGAGATCACAGCCTTACGACAACACCAACATTATTTCATCATTATTATTTCCTGAGTAGGCCCATTTGTTCTGTGCAGGGCTGCATGGCACTGACAGTTTTTCTTTTTATGTCACAGGCCTACTAATGAACCTAAAATGCTGTGATTGATAGGAAGACAAAGTCATTATCTGCCTCTAAACAGCAACGACGCAAAATACTAAACGGCAAAAGCAACATGAGTAAAGTGGCTTAATTACCACAATCACCATCAATAACATAAACGTTAGTGATGAGGCAGACTGCCATCACACTGTATTCCCCATATGTAACAAAAAGCAATCTTTCAAGGGGAAAAAAATCCCAAATTCTGATTAAAATATCTGAGAAGCTGCTTATTTGCATTTTACTCAGATGCATGAAGATCTAACAGTAATTGGGAAACATTTTTCTGCTGAAGAATCTATATTCAAAAGAATGGATGCTGCAAATAAAACACTGAGGGAGAAAATTTAAGAAAATTAAGAGAAAACAGAGTTAAGCTGTCAATATTTCTAATGATACTACCAACAGTTTATGGAAATAATACAAAAACAAAACAAAAAAGAAAAATAACAAACTAAATCACACAGCCCCGTCTATTACCTGAACTAACACAGCTGGTTACAAGAGTCTAAAACTGTGCACCCACGGAGAGGATATGACTGATCTGTACAAACAACTGAAAATGTTAACACTACAGCACAAACACAATCTGACTGAAAACATTTTTATATTTAGGAGGGAAATCACAGACCAAAACCTAAATAACAATCTTGAGGATCTGAGTCTGATCTCCCTGGAGGTCACTCTGGTGAGAAGTTACATTGATGCTGCTCACAGTTTTCACAGCGAGTGGTACTAACCATGAAAACTAACTGGCAACCTGAGCGGCTATTGTTTGTTCAGATTAAAAGCGAAGTTTACCGGTTCTTTCTGCTAAGTAAATGCATCTATTTCTTGCTTTATTACATCTCTCCAAGAAGCACACGTTCATCTGTTTCTCGAGTCTTTGTTTCTTTGTAAATAATAAGTTACACATTGGCTCCCCTCTGGCTTCATCATCGTGTTATCTTATGGGTTGCTTACAACAAATGTGTCTTTCGTTTACTGAAATAAGAACATCCTGATACTGATTTGTAACAACTAATAATGCAAATTTTGTTAGATGTGTTCCCAAGAGGAGAAAACAACATTTTCACTTTTTTTACTGGAAAATTGTAGTGTTGATATACTGTTCTTAATTAACAGATACATAATCTAGTATGTCAACAATGTACAGTGCCACTGGCCTAGCGGACTCACACACACCTAATACACATAGGTTTTAGGTTATGCCTTATGCAGTCAGGTTCCCTTCCAGGATGTGGTTCCTTTTTTTTTTTACACAGAGTTGTACTTGTATTAATAATATCAATAGCTGTGCACATATAGTCCTCGGTATATTGTTCTAAATTGAAAAGATGGGTAGTGTCCTTTCAAATTTGTATGCATCAGAGATGCAGCCTCACTGATGGTGGATACATTTGCATCTGCATTTGACTGTTTTGTTTTCTGCAAACACCACAGCACTGCTAACTCATAATGGGTCAACACCGCTTGAACTAAAAGTATAATACAAATCTGCAACACACTACAAATGGAACAAAGACAGGTCCTTATAGGTACAGATTTAATACTTCATGTACCACCTGAAGATAAAGATTAACACAGGCCGGGAAAGATCATTAAAATACATCTGTAATGACATCCAACCCTATTTTAAAGGCATTCAAGTGTTACAGTAACTTATTGGGACTTAAATACAAGTTGAAAAGCCACTTATATACTCAGCTCTAAAACTTTTAAAGCCTGAAGTTGGGTTTTTTAAGGACACAAATCATCCCCTAATCTAAGACAGTCTAAAGCAGGACATCCTTGATAACTTGCCTGAATCTGGCAAATCACAACACAGTCTGATTCTATTACAGTTCCATCATGTGACTGATGCTCTTTGCCCAGTTTCTGCTAAATATAGCACTTTATACTAGAGTTCAGCTATTGTTCAGCCAGACCCAAGTAGCCCGCACTTTTACTCTTTTACTGTGGTTTTCAAACTGTGGGCTGCTGACCTGTGTCTTTAATTAGTAAGGCAGTACTTCCACCTCTTCTGCATTACAGATATCAAGAAAATAAGATACAAGCCATCAGCCTTCAGACTGAAAGCTTAGATGAACAAACATCCTTTTATTTTATTTTATTTTATTGGCTATTGTGCTCAAAAGAAAGCGTAAAATATTAAATCTGACAGCGATTGCTCAAATATTCAAACAGGAAAACTTTGAATTATCTAAGGAGACATTTTCAGTCCAGTTCAACTTCAGCTTGCTGCATGTTGAGCTGTTGAAGGGAACAAACAGCATCAGACGCTGAAATCTCAGAAAAGAAGAATGCTAACATGCCTCCTTATTGATCACAGGTCTACAGTGCAGCGCAGCACTACACTGTGTCGAGCCCCTTGCTTTGATACAGTGAGAGGTAGTGACCTCAGCGTCTCCGGGGATCAATTTAAAACCCTCGCCACCACAAAAACAGCCAATTAGTGAGTGCGCTTTGCTGCCTCGAATGCATTCCAAGGGCCCTTTTTCCTTGCTCTGAAAAACCAAGAGCATGAAAACAAACACACAGGACAGGATGAGGAAGTGTTATGAATATGAAACCAAATGAAGTTATAACGTGCAGCCTCACTTAGTTTTTTTCTGAGCACATGTGTTTACGGTTGGTGTGTGCCTATGCTAACCTGCACAGTATTAAACAATGAAAGACTAACTCTTTCAAGAGTAAAGATGACTTGTTGATATCAAAGCCCTATCAGGACATGAGGTTTTGTGCATACTTTTTACAGTTTCCTGTTGTTTTCCTGTTGATTTTGCTGACAAGAGTGAAACACAGGGTCCTTAAGCTGTGATTCAATTATTATAAACCAAAATGATACTCTTCCATCCACAAATTAATAATGAGGCCTCTTTGATAGCCCTTAAAATAAAATTAGACAAGCTCTGCAAACTTCTCTGCATACACTGGCAAAAAGAGACAGCACAGAGACAAATCAAGAGCACTCATTTCCTCCAATACCTATTAAAATGTCTCCTTTAGTTTTTTGATGGAGATTGTGTACATTCATCCTGTCGCAGCTGTTTGATGTTTCCACCAGGTTCTGATTTACAGCAAATGAAAGCTGGCTGGGTTAGAGGTGTAGATGTGGAAAGAGTGACCAGAGGTCTCGTACGAAACCAAACAGCAGGATGGAGGAACAAGACAGAGCCTCTGAGGAGAGACAGAAGAAAGATGTCTCTCTTTGCCCTGAGCTCAACATCAATTTCTGTGTATCAGCCTTGTCTGCACTGACATTATTCAAAACAGCAAGAGCAAATGTTAATGAGCTCTTATTTGCATATTTATTTTTTTCTTTGTTGAAATGTCACTGATTATTACGTACTATGATGATAAATGCATCTGCTCATGCAGCCTGATGTGTAATTAGCCATTAGGTGGAATGAATAGATCAATTAAAGGAGACGGATCAAGATTAAGAGAAATCAAACCAGGAAGAATGAGAAGAGAATAACACATCAGAGGCTTGAAGGGGGGAAAAGAATGACTCCATGGCTTTGAGATTACACTTGTATCTAGTTAAGTATCAATAAAAAAGGTGTTTAAATTTTCAGCTAGATCAAAGATGTCCTGTGTTTTTATGGCACATTCTTCAGCGCTGAAGAATGACTTTGAAAGTCGGGAGCTGCTGCCCCTCCCGCTCACTAAACAGTTTATTTTTTTCTGAAAATTCATCTCTGCGCGAGGAGATGCGGATTTGCTGATTGTATTTATCCCCTCCCAGGATAATCAGGTGCCATGGCTCTGTCTATTTGGATTTTTTCTAACTCGGTAAAAAGGAAAAGGGGGGGAGGTGCAAAGGGGGAAATGTTTTCGCTTGGCCTTTGCCTTTTTCAGAGCCCAACTATTCTCCTGCCAGCACTTGTTATTCACGAATGAGGAAAAAAATGCATTACTGCGGACCAGATGGGAACATTCCACATGACCAAACCAATCAATCACCTTGGTGGGACGCAGGTGTGACACAGCCGTGCAGCAACACACCATTTCACAGTCTATCAGGCACAAACACATGGTCACCAATCAATGGCACCCCGAGGACCCGGGAGGAGGGGTGCTTCTCCACAGCCTCACTGGTTCATGGCTGATGACTTCATAATCACACATCCATTCTCTCGGAGGAGGAAGGCGATGAGCTCCCTAATAACATCTTCCACCATGTGAACACCAACACTGTAATAGATGCTACTTGGGTGGGGACGCCAACGCGCTCTTCCTGCAGAATAGTGAGCTCACAGCCGTCACCCCGAACAGGTGGAGAGAGAGCCGTCTCCACTGAAACAAGGGCAGGTTTAACAAGCTGAAGAAACGTCTCCCTGATGGATATTAGAATAAAGGCTGAGTGTGTGTGTGTGACTTCAAAGTGAGTGTTAATGTTTGCTGTTTGACGCCAAACAACTGTTGAGCAGTGAAACAACAGAGAGCCGAGGTGAAGGACGAGGAAGGATACACACATGGGTTAGGTATGCTGGTCCAGCTCCAAGAACTGCAGGCATATTTTCTTACACAGAAAACCCCTGCAAACCCAAAGAGCTCTGCTGTTTAAGAACAAAAGCCCAAACTAAATAAAACACAAAAACAACCCAAGCAGAAGGATGATTCCTTTGATGAGGGCGCTCTCTGTGGGGATGATTTGTTTGTGGGCAAAAACTGTTGCAGCTATTTAAAAAAAAGTTGTGCAGAATTTAAGTTGACAAAAAAAGTACCTTCCCGCCCCCAGATTCCTGGCAGTTAAGAAAAAGTCTCACGGAGCCATGTTCCTCTTTACACTTCCCACAGCTCACACTCTCAGGACTGTGCCAGCACTGAAGAAAATGTCAGGCACCGTCAAGTGAGAGTAAAAGCGAATGCAAATGCTTACATTTTATCAACCAATCACAATCCACTACAGCCAAAAACGCTGGGAGTGTGACATTAGCTGGTGATTTGATTGCGTTGAGATAGGAGGCCTGTGAGAGCAGCTGTGACAGTGAAGGAGGTGGGGTCTGCAGAATTGACAAGCAAGTGTAAACCAAGTTTGTCCATTGCTCATCAGAACTATACCCTAACCCTCAGATGTGTTCTTGAATGAATAGTTCATTAGGATAGGAGGGTGACTCTGAAAAAAGCAACTCAAGCCTGAATTGTCTGTTTAGACGACAGATGTACAAACATCAGGGATCAATTTCATGCATTCTCTCTGGTTTCAAAGTGGAGTGACTGTGTTTGAGGAGAAAGGAGGAAAAGTCGGAGCAAACTGGGTGTCCATCTGTGTCCAACAAGGTTTCATACTGGGTTTCTCTGGGCCCAAGTGACCAAAATTAGTCCTGAAGTGGATTCTCTTTACCTTTAGAAACATCAGGATCAGAATCAGAGGGATTCAGTGTTCGGTGTCAAACATGCCAGTGATCCACTAATTATTTGATACTTGGGTTTTGTTTTGTCAAAGCTGTGTAACGTCTCCTTAGATGTGAACTTGAACATCCTTCTTTACATATCCCAATGATCTCTCCTATCCCCCATTTACAGTACATTTTAAAGAACCAGTTGTCTTCTTCACAAAAAAGGCCAAACAGCTCCACCTTTTGCAAATCTACAGACTCAGCCATAAATGTGTGCAGAGTTACAAACAGTGTCATGTTAGATTATGCACACAGAGCTATTTATTCTTGATTGAAAACAACTGTGGCTGTCTTTTAATGCTCTCAAGACAACATCTGTGAATTCCAGCAAAACCAGAGACAGAAGCAGAACTGCTTCAAAGTCTAACAATTCATCTTACGATACATAGAAATCGTGTTTGGCCAGTAATCCAGTTTTATCCATAATCAAATCCTCACTGCTATGTTTACATTTCCAGACTGAAAGTAAAGTTTTCTGCAAAAAAGATCCAAGACTCTCGTGTGAAGACTGAACACTTCTCTGCTCCTTTAGCGCACTGTTTCGAAGCTTTAGCGTGAGAGGATATTCAATTCTGTCAGCAATGGCAGCTGAAGTCAGCAGACTTTAATTGTTCCACTAACAGTAATTCTTCTGAATGAATCATTTCCTTTTTAGCTTTAAGCTTGTATTAAATAATCTCCCAACCTTCTTCCTGGCATCAGCTGCAGGAAGCATGAGGCGAGAGAAATGAGAGACAGGGGGAGGGGGGAAAGAAAGGAACAGGGTGGAAAGAGAAAGAAGGAGATGTGGTATATGCAAGAAAGCTAACAAGTACAAAGCAACTTAGCAACAGAATATCGATTTTTTTTTTTGTCTGGGTGTCTTTTAACTACTGTCTGAATATTAGAATTTTTAGCAGAAAGTTCACTTTTAATCCACAGACACTTTTATCTACAGACACATGTAGATAATTATGCACAAGTATTATAGGCCTATCCAACAGAGCTGTCTACACTTGACCTTGCTGTATTACACACATAAGAAAACCTCTCTTACATCTCTTATGGGGATTCAAGCTAGAGGTTGACACTTCCTGGTTGATGGTAAATACACTCATGATGCTCTGCCCCCTGCAGCTGCTTTCCTACAGACTTGTTATGTCATCACACCTTAGCCATGCCTCGACTCTCCCCTTCTCTTTGGAGAGACAGCCCTCCAGGCCCGCCGAGACTACAGCTGATCCTCTGCAGCTGGCCGGCCTCGCCAGTCGCATGCTGAGGGCCGGGGCCAAAGGAGGGCACGGCCAGGGCCAAGATAGGCTGAGAGAAGGACGAGGGGGCGAGGAGGGGCTGGGCTATGTGGGGAGATGTGGGCGGCTCGGGGATGAAGAAAAGGGATTTGTGCCCTTTCAGCTCGTCTTCAGCTCTTCATGCTCCACTGACCGCGGTAATAGATAAGCACACCCTGCAGCTCTGCATAATGACCAGCTACTTCCACTAAACTGTACAGCACCACATCTCTGCTGCTCTCCCTCTCTTCTCTGTTCTTGTCTTACATACAGAAGATATGTACATTTAAAAAATCTTTGCCATGAGAAAATGCTGTATTCAGCTGCTCCAACTGTGAAAGCCTGCAGTATAGTCTCAATGCACCATATGTGTGTGTGTGTGTGTGTGTGTGTGTGTGTGTGTGTGTGTGTGTGTGTGTGTGTGTGTGTGTGTGTGTGTGTGTGTGTATGAGAGAGAGAGAGAGAGAGAGAGAGAGAGAGGGAGAGACATATGAGAATAGTATTGGCAGCACCTGTGACCCACTCTGCAGTGGAAACCAAGTTCACACCTGAGCAGCATCTGGCCACAATCACTACCAGCCTGGGTCTAAGGAGAGTCTCTCATGGGATGGAGCATTAGCACATGACACCTGCCCCTGTAAAAACACTCTAGGGATGCTGGTGTGATGTGGGATTTGACATGCCAAGGAAAGGACCGAGACTGAAAGAGATACATTCTGCAAGAGTCTGTTTGGAGCAGCGAGAGTACTTGATACATTTTTTTGTCTCTTACAGGATCCAACATCCCCAAAACATTTCCACAGTTTAATTCTGCAATGTAAATGCAAAAAAGAAAAATTAAAATACACATATATGTTATAAAGCAAGATTAACTGCACCACTGAGCATCTACTGTTTGTACAAGGCAGGTCTTACATTACAGAAGCAAATTGTTCCTTTGCTTTTATTTGCATTACAGCTCACACAAAGACACACAAGTATAGTATGATCTATCCAGGGCAGTATTTTTTTTGATCTGTTGCATATGCAGAGTCACTGGATAGTAACTCCAAAAGATATGTTTGCAACCCGTGACTTCTGTGTTAGCAACAAGCAAACTGAGAAAAATTACAGCAAGTTCAAGAGGCTAATTTTTAGTTAAGGCTCCTGTGAAGAACTTTTGGCGCCCCCTGTAGACAAAGTGGCAACACTTATATTTTTACTGATTTCATCTCATCTTCCTAAAAGTAGTGTTAATTGATGAAAAATTTCTTCCCTGATGACTTTTTACAGTTAACTGGATCACATAATGGCTGTAACCTCAACATAATTCTCCTCTCACAGCAGTTACAGGGGTTAAAAACTGCAATAAAGACATTGTCAATCTTGTCACTGCAATTGTATATCATACAGATGCACCACTGTTAATCGTAGTCCCAGAACTCCCAACAGGAGCTTTAAAAAATTAAATAACATATAAAAGCAGCCCCCTAAAATATTTCATACAAGTCAACCTGATGCTTTCCAAGTCATCCTGACAGTTATCATCCATAGCTCTTACAGGCTAGGGGATGTAAGCTAAAATGTGCTCATTTCACTTGCATGTGTATAAAAAGCTTTGCTATCCAAAGATTTTCTCCGCCTCTTTAAATAATTTAACTCAATAGTGACAGAAAAAAACTTGGCTGATGGGGATACAAGCAAAAGCATGGCAAAAGTTGCTACAGTGTTTTGTATTTGAATCCGCGCCTCCCATCCACTGCTATAGGCTAATGTTCACAGCTACCTGCAGAAGCTTATTAAGTTGTACTGCAGTAGAAGATGATTTACAGATACAACACAACAGCTTGATCATATTCAAGAGGTCACATGTGTCACATGGAGGTCACATGTGTACGTGGACAAGCTGGCAGCAGAATTCATGTGGATGTATGTGTGCATTGATGGCAGTTATAAGCTGATTAGTTGTTATGCAGGGCTAAAGCTGTATGAGTAATATGTATGGAGCACACCACAGAAACGTGAGCAGGAAAGTACAACTCAGCAGTTGTGGTATCATACCATAGAGCACATGGCTGCAAAAAAAACTGATGCAGAGGCAGTTATCACCACATTAGTGAAACTAAAGCCACAAAAATCTACTCAGGAACAAGCCACCTGGTTGTCTTTATTGAAATTTGTGTAAACTCATTTGTTGACAACTGACAACTGTGCATATAGCTATAGATTTTAGAGCTATTTATGTTTGCAAGTGTCTTGTTGATGATCAGCTTGTTACTTTATAGCAGTTAGACAATTTCTGAACTACAAACATGATTTGGGAAAAACAACAAACATGATTATGTCCAGAATTTTCTTGGAAAAATCCCATCATTTGCACTTTTTTAGGTTTGACAGAGAGGAGCAGTTTAAGGTAAAAGACAGGGAGCAAGCCTGCCATGTCAGGGATTTTGGAGGTCTTTAGATGTCCCCGAACACATTTCCCCAATGTTTTTTATTGCAATAAAAGGACCACAAACTGTGACTAACGACAGCTGTGAACAGCTTTATCCACCCTCTCAGGCTAATTAGCAACTTTAGAGCATCATCTGAGGTTCAGCCTGAGATTTAGAAAGGCTTTCTACACTTAGTAGAAAACAATGCCAGTCCATTAAGTAAATAATGACAAAAAAGCAGCAAACACACATTAACACACAAACACACACACACAGGCAGGCAGGCACAGTACAGCATAAAATAAAGAGGCAGAGTGCAGCTCTTTCAGTTGTAGCTCATCGCCTGTGGTAATTGCCCAGATTGCTTGAAATCAACGTCCCCCACAGGATTCCCCTCATCGAGCTGACACCACCAGGAAATATCTGGGCAGGTAATTAGATCTAACTATTTCTTGTCAGGGCTGTGAACTGTTGGTTATCCCTGTGGCTAAACAATTACAACAACTGGGTGAGAAACAAGCCTCCACTACAAGACTTAAGAGTCAAGCATTACGACAGAGAGACAGAATAGAGAGAGAGAGAGAGAGTCATTTAACTCTATCCATCATCAACTGCAAAGGAGCATAGAAAAGTGGAGGATAGTAAGAGTGCAAATAAACAAAACAAAGCAATCCTAGTGCATTTGGAGGAAAAATCATTTATCTTTCGGTTTAGAGTCCAACTCTATCACAAGTTTAAGGCATAAGTGACTGCCATATCACTAGAAATGATAAAATGGGAATTTGAATACCCAGACTATCAGTAATGTGTACTTACTGCAAAGAGAAATTAAGCTCTGCCCTCACAACAGGCAAAGAAATATATCTCTTAAAGAGATATTTGTTTTCAACAATTCATAACTGTGCTTATATAACTAAGACTGATGCTGCCAGGGGCACCCTGTCTGTGTTATCTTTTTAAAGAGGGTACAGGAAACATGCTGTGGCTAATCAGGAAATAATACTGTAACTCTTTAAAGTAGAATTGCGATTCATCAGTATGAATACATGAAGTAAAGCTTGGAGTTTTTGTGCATTTGTGAGGCCATTAGACCCAGGATTGAGGATCCCTTTGGATGATCCTATGTCCATACACTGTCAAAGTGTAGCATCTTTCACCTCATGTGATACGTTGTCTGACTCAAAATACTCGCATGGCTGTGACTAAAAAATTTTGTCAGTGATGCAACGTAAAATATACAAAATACAGCTGCCTATTGCAACATACATCAGTTGTGGTACGGCATAGTAAGAGGACTGCAGCACAAAAGAGGTGGATCTGAGATGCATGTGTGGCCCAGACCAGCTGATCCAGAGTCATCTCAAGCATAGGAGCCAGGTCCCAGGGGACACAGTGTCATCGTTAAGCAGTGAGTTGCTCTGAGGCGTTCACCCAAGGCCCCACTCTCCAGCTTAAATCACCCGCAGTTTACTCTCAAGAGGCTGGAAGACGACCATGCCACATGTTTGGGGGAAACTGTCATTTCACGTCTGCAGGTTTGACGACATTGAACAGACATGTAAGATTTTGTTAAGTAGCAGTAAAATCTGTCAGTTATAAAGAGCTAACTGTATTGAAGCCACAGCTTGATATTTAAAACACTCATTTCTTCAGATAACACAAAAGCTTGCCTTTTTCTGGACGAAAGTATCTTGACAGGAAAGTGTTCAGAGTGTAATGTTTCCCACAGCTAAATACACACTGATATGATTCATGTTTTTCATCATCACACTGTGTAAAAAGGATTTGTGGCTGACTGTGAGTCATTCTGCACACATTTATAAATACTGATAGTTTAAATCCATGCATACACAAAACTTCAGATCACTCAAAATAGATGGTATTAGAAAAACAGTCCTGATGATTTTAACACTGCAATGCAGTTATATTCTCGTCCTACAGTAAACGGGCATTATTATGTAGTTTAGCCGATAAGCAGAGGCTCAGATTTCAAGCAGTACAAAGGTCCAGCATTTCAAGAGTTGACCAAAGCACAAGGAAATCACAACTGAAGGGATAAGACCATATATGAAGTACATATATATAATGTTGGTCTAATTATCTGTGTCATTTATCTGATTTTGACATTCACTGAGCACATGTAAGAAGCTGCAGTGACATCCTCACATGAGGTTTCAGAGGGTCAGACCTTCAAGCAGCATGAGCATTGGATTCAACACAGGGTGGTCTGTTTTTTTCAAATTAGATCTTTAGAAAAAATTAATGAAATCTTCAAAGTATTTTCACAAACAGTATTTTGTTTGGTCAGTCAATGAGATATTTCATAAACAGGAGAAAAATGGCTTAAAAACTGCTTAAGAAGACAGTGCCAAAGACAATAATGTGCTAGACAAGTTCACTGAATAAGGATGTAACGATATCCAAATCTCACAATACCAAAATATCATGATAAGTCCAGGATATAAAATATAGAGACATGGATAAAAATGGCATTCATATGGCTCTGAGTAGCTTATGGTGTCAAAACTCTTGATTCCATTACATCCATGGAACAAAACCATCTAATCATGGAATAAGAGGCATTTATCTACATGAACCAAGCTGGCCTCTGACCCATCGTCACTGGTCTAGGCCACATGGATTGACAACCAAAGGCCCATAAACCATTGTATCTCAAATAAATCACTGCTGCCCAAAAATGTATGTAAAAAAAAAAAAACAGTGAGAAACATGAATACAGCTGGTCTGATAAAGCAAACAATGAAGATAAGATGATTAAAGAAAACCAAAGGCCAAGAGTGGGGAGCTCAAAAAGCAAAGTGTTCAATGATCTGTGGTATATAATCTATAAAAATCTATAATAAATTTGAGATGTATAGTTTTTATATGAGAAGGTCTCATCCATCAGCCTGTTTAACCTCACATCCCAAATTCCCCCGCCTGCTGCCAATAGAAGTAGCTGTGGGCGTTTTTGATGTCTAGTAGACAGCTTCTTATGATGGAAAGCTATACTGATGGCGTGACTTCTAGCCTGGGGGAGGGTCATCACAGGAGGAGGAAGAAGAAGGAGATACAGAAAGGGGAGGGGGATTAAAGGAAGGAATAAACACAGCAGGAGATGGAAGAAAATAACCCCGTAGCTCTGCAAGCCTTCCAATACAGCTACGTAGAAATGCATGATGTGCCTTGACCTCAATCAGGGAATTTTTTCTAACAGGAAGTCCGTCCACAACTAAAGGGCATGTGAGGGGTGAGCAGAGGAGAATCACTTACTTACCCATTATGTTAGAGTTCATAAAAGGTGTTGAGGACAATCCTTCATGGGACACTAATCGACTGTCACTCAGATGATCGCCATAATGAGGGCTGTCTGCGAAACCCTGAGGGGAGAGATCAGAATATTAAGCACATTATCAGGCAACTTCTCTAATGAAGTGATACGACACACCACTAATTAGTGAGAGGACAACATGACTGGGACTGGTTTGTAAGGCTAATAAAAGGCACCCTGTCTTCTGTAGAAAAGAACCAAAATGAAAAACAAATCTTTTCATCAGTGTTGTATTTTAAATGAGGGTTCATTTTAAGAGAGCTTTAATTGCCATGACGACACGTATGAAGAGTGGACTTGTAAGAACAGAAGCAGCAGTGACAACATCTTATATGATCTACCCTATAATTATCTTTTCTTTCATGTCCATGTAAAGCTTCCATCAGAATCTGAACACAGTTTAAATAAGAGTCTTCAAGCATCTGTTATGGACTCACATCTTTGGTCTTGTTTTACCCTACAACTTTATTTTTTTTTCTCTACTGTTGGTTTATGAGTACTTCTGTACAAGTCTTACAAGATTTCAGTAAACAAGTTTGAGTGATTAATGGTAAGGACTTTTAAACTGTCACTAATCTGGATTTATTGTCTGTTTGTCCAGTAATGTGTCACTTTCATATGTTCCTCCATGTATGTTGAAATAATCCACATATATGAGATCAGACAGACAAATATTAGAGCAGTTGGCTTTACTTTGAACCTGAGAATTTGTGTGATGAAACATTGCTGTCTCCTTTTAAATATTTATTGTATTACCTTTTCATCATATATTATTTCAATACCTGATACAGGAAACCACATCACTATACCTGCAATCATTTCCAAATAACCCTGACCTGCATATGAATTAAGTTCATTGATTTTATTGTAATTAGTATTTTCTTGTCATATCTTATTACAATATTGATGCAGGTTTTCATAGGATAGACCAATCAATATTTTTAAGTCATGAAACTGATTCTTGGCAAATCTTTAAAGGTTACATGCATCAGTACCAGATGAAAATTCATACTGCTAACTTGTCATCAGAATCATCTACCATCTATCGAGGGCAATATTGTAAATACTGTTTTTGAGCTACTTTTCTGGTTCGCAAAAAAAAAAATGTCAAAGCTTTGATTTGACTCCGTATCTATCTACAAAACTTACATCTAACACATACGTTTATTTTTCAATCTTGAAGTTATTCTTGATCTTCATGATAACAGGTTTATAGATCCACCCACGCTTTATAAGAAGGTGTTATAACAAAGAGAAGGGAGAAACAGAGAGTTGCAATCCTACATCGTTGGTACCCTGGTACCTGCAGCTCAAAAGAATTGCCTTTTTACTCCTGCAGCTTAACACTGCCTTTTCATGACAGTTATCAGCTTCAGGGCTTAGGTCTAAATATCGGTCACAGTATGGTTTTTGAAAACTCTGGTCCCATGTAATAAAAGATACTCTGTTACAGTGCTAATCCCAAGCCCTGTGAAAATCCTCCTGTGCTCCAGTCAAATACATCTCCCAAAACTACATTAACTCCCAGCAGAGGGACCAAGCCGCAGTGGGCTTGCATTTCTATAGAGCTATTTCAACCAACTCATACCCTTTGCATTCAACATACAGTAAAAAAAAGTTAATCTTATTACCCATCTTTTTTTACGTGAGTGGATGGTGATGGAGTAATTTCAAAGGCAGTGGAGTGTTGTGCTGTGTCGAGGGAATCCTCAGAGATTCCCTATTGTGCTGCTGCCAGGCCGCACACACTGTTAATCACACCATGAACAGACTCAATAACAACAACAGCTCTGTGAGAGGCTACAGCAACACAACACACACAGACCTACACACACAGAGCTCACATAAGCTACGAAGAAACATCTCCTCAGTTCTGAGGCAGAATAAAGAACAACTTATGGGTTAAAGGAATAATTCAACATATTTGCTTTCGATGCATGAGGAGGCTGACACTTCTTTCATACTGATTTAATAAATTGTGGGTTACATCCTGTTAGTTTGACTGAACAGAATGACTGGACCCAAGATCCAAGGAGAAGCCAGCTCCTCTCCAGGTCACTTTTGATCATCGGGTTTATATCATTTTAAGTAACACTGCAACTGATTTACAATTAAGGCCATGATAGGCAAAAGAAAAAGAAAAAGGTTGCGAATGCTGTTTTTGCTTGTGTGCTGATGTGTTTTTGTATGTTTCCCTAGAAAGTTTTGATGCCATTGACCTGCCAAAGTCTGGAGGCAAAAGTTGCTTGTATGGTCAAACACAGGACATCCACACGATTGATGTAGGAACTAATATTTGTTTATTAAACAAAACAAAGATAAGCTAATCAGCATTTCACACCACATTTGTTCACTTTGTAGCAAAAAACAATGTGTAAAAACTAAATTGTCTATTTTACGAGGGTTCGTGTGCCAGTCGATTTCTTGGCTGGGACCAGTAACTTCCTGGAGTCGTTTCTTGTTGCTTGGCAACTGCTTTCCAAAAAGAGTAAGTCCAGTACATAACTTCATGTAAAATGATGAACTGTCATTTTCCCACTCTCATTGTTTAGTGCTTACACAAATGATGTGATCAGTGTAACCAAGAATACAACAGATCTCTGTTTTCTTGGTTTGACTGAAGCTTCACAGTTATCAGACATCCTCTTCCTCTCTCTACCACTAGCTCCTAAAATGTTGAACTCGTCCTTTAACTGAATCTGTGGAAAGCACGTTGTACCAATAAAGACTTAACACCACTTTCATCATGTCTTCCACTGTTTCCTCCTTTAAGTCTATTAGAGGATCAATCACAAATCTCTTCTCTTTCTCAAGCAGGACTGGCCTACATCCATCTGAGACTCTAACACATGGCGTACCCACTGCCAAAGGGCTACGAAAACTCCACTGATTAAATAACTGTCAGATCACTGTGGCAACAAGCAGACCAGAGCTCACACTCTGTCCCCTAATCACTCCTCACAGCATTTAAAAAGTCATCTCCTCCACACTCTGAGCTGCATCCCAGGTGAACGAGTAACTGCATGTGGCAGCTCGGGGAGTGATGATATGGTCATGATGGATGCGTGTGGGGTCGGGTATCAAGTCAGGGCTGGGGACTGGGGAAGTGGGGGTTGTCTTGCGGTGGTGGTGGGCACAGCTCTGGCTGTCAGACCGCCAGCCTACAGCCACAGCTGCCCAGGATACAGCGGCTGGCTGGAAGCCAAGGTCAGCACGACGGGGCTCGGGACTGTTCACAGTTGACTGATCGCACAGTCGTAGCTCAGCAGCTCAAACAAGCTCAGGGACGAGACTGAACTCCCTTCTTAACAGACTGAGGCTGAAACACACAGGAGCTCTGCCCACAACGTCGGGCAGATAAAGCGAATCATTTCGGACACGTCTAACAATAGCTGCTTTTTAATTGATTATTTATTTATCATCAACAATACTGATATAAAAACACTGAAAAGGAATGACAGGATGATACTGCGAGCAAAAAGACATCTTAAAAACTCAGCGACACAGTTATATTTACCAGAAACATACAGATGAAACATACCTCAATAAAACTGGAAAGTCTAGGCTGCATGTAGGTGTAAATATAAGCCTTGTACCCCCATGTGCAGTCAAAACTTACAAAAATTAAAATAGTTTATTCAAATTTAGCCAATTTAGCCAGTCAATGTTATCCATGACCAGCTGACTGTTTCTGTGCGCTGCAGGAGTGTTCCCTGTATTTTAGAGCTTTTATTTCAGTGCTGAAATACTGTCAATTCAACATGGCAGAAACAGACATTCACCACTTAGCGCTGGTTGAGCATTACTGCACTCATTGATTTGACAAGCAATGAAACAGGAGGCGAAGAGTTGGTATTAGATTGAAACACAGGGCCAGTAAAGGAGCTGTTTTTCACTCTGAACAGTATTAGAGTCGACATTCAAGAGAATTGTGATACATGCTACATGTTATCAATACCAAATTAACCATGAACCCATATACAATCAATCTGTCCTTCTTATAACTAACTCTAAGGAAATTCCCTTTTTCTCTATCCTGAGAATATCAGCTTTATTGAGGTCATCTACATCTTACTGACACATCTCTGAGCTTAGGGGAAATTTGGTCGGTTGTTCTTGTGAATGTATGCACTAAATTCTTCACTACGGGCCAACATACATCGAATGAACCAGAGGTTTATTCCTGTTTTCATGGGGTTTACTGAAGATATACAGTATGAAGTGTCACTTTTTTGTGAATGAAGAAACAACTGAAGATGTTGAAAAGAATTTACTGTAGACACCTAAGATTCATTACAGATACCACCAACTACTTCTTAACACGGTCCAAAATATTACAAAAATATTTTACCTGCTAATATACATCAAGTCTGTGTCAGTGTAATGTGTGTATGCAGCTGTGCGTGTGTGTGTGTGTGTGAGTCTGTGACGTGTAAGCATGCTTGTTTGCATGCACGCCTTATGGAGGTGCAAACAGCTGTCTGCTGGCTGACGCTGTGCCTTGCAATGTCAGAGACACTCATTTATATGCACCTGGAGCAAAGATATCTCAAGCGTCTGTGTCTTATAATTCAAATCAAGCTGCCTATGTTACCATAGCCTGTAGATGTTCATTCGGGAAGGGCACAGAGGAATAAACAAGGTAATGTGGCCCGAGTGGCTCTGACATTTGACTGAATTCTAATAGAAAGTGACAGGAGATTGACATTGAATGAAATTCATACAGGGCATCCAGAACAACCAATGTGTGAGGGACAAACAAACAGGGGAGAGAGCTGTTCACACTTGCTCACACAAATAGTGAAATACTCTCACTTAACCAGAACAATAGAGATGTGCTTTCCCATGCACTGTTTCTTTCATCATCTTACTGCAAGAATTTCAGAAGAGATGAAGACACATTCCACAACAACAGTCCTGAATAATTGTATTTATTTTGGCGTCATTTCATCTTCAGTCTTGGACTAAAGATAGTATGGACACGCTCCAGAAAGCAGAAGCTATTTTATCTCATATATGAACCAGTGTAGTACATTTTTTGGCCCTGTTCAGACCAGGAGTGTCTGCGTTTGGAGCTGTGCTTTTTATCACAGTTACATGAATAAGCAGGTCTTCTTGTAACTGGCTGCTTTATTTTCATTATTCTAGTTACCCTAAAGCCGCTAAAAATCTCAGAAGAGTAACAGCAGTAACACAAACTTTACAGTGTTCTGTACACTGTAGCATCTGCCGAGGCGGTGAGCATGTTAACCACAGGATTTAACAACAAACCCAGAGTTTTCAGCGAGCTTTCATCAAGCTCTTCATCAAACTCAAACGAATTTACTCTAGCAAGCTTAACACAATATGACTGGCTGCAGCAATGTAGTGATGGCCTTGAATTTCTGCACATTCAGAAAAAAAAAAAAACTAAAAAAGTTAAAGACACACTTTTTTGGAAGGTTCAGGCTCAGATTGATGCATGTTTAGAAGACACACGACTCATTAAGGGTGTAAAGATATGTACACTTACACCTTCAGTGCGAAACTAAAGGTCACTCAAATTTAAGGTCCCAATATGGATGGACCAGAGGATGTAGTATGTAAACTATACACAGCATACAAAGCCCATCTGAAGAGCTTTTGAAACATTCGTCTCAGTACATTGGCTTTCTCAACAAATCACCTCAAAACAAACCGACATACAGTTTTTTACTGTGAAGACTAAATTACTTAATGAGTGAACCGTTTCACTTTTTCCAGAGTTTCACTTCTTGATGCTTCTATATTTATTGTGTGTGTTTTCAGGTTGAAGACATGTATTCAGAGTTAAGGAGAGAAGGGATGAATATTGGAGTTGTTTCTAACAACTGTTCAACACACTTAACAACACAAAAAGAAAAAAACTCACACACACACACACCCGACCTGTGAGAACATTAACTGGTCTTTCTTGCGCAGAAAAAATGTCTAAAGAAACATGAGTAGGGTATGGTGAAACTAAAAGATTGTAAGTGTACCGCTTTGATGTAATGAGTGTTAAATGATGTGCTGTGGAGCAGAAAGGCCATCTTACCCGAGAGGACTCATAGGAGGGACTGGACTCGCCACCTGGGGCCCAAGACGCTTGGTTGGTCCGCTCCTCCATACCTGTCAGAGAGAGACACACAGTTCAGTCAAGATCACTCACACAGCTCAGTGTAGGTACAATCTATTTATATTCTCCAGCAAACAGACATGATGAGGATGTCAAAGACAACAACTGGATCCCCATGACTCTTCATACGTGTCACTAAACACAGAGTTCATGCAGATTTCTGTACAGGTGTCACACAGTGTTCTGTTTCTTCTGTTTTAACCTTTGGTGTTTCTAAGAGATGCAGTTGAATTTTCTGCTGGATCACGGTTAAAACTATTCTGTTCTTTGTTTTCCTGCTCTGAACATGGAATACGGACAATCCAGAGTTAAAGACAAACAGATGATTTTCAGATAGATGTTCAGATATATGTTCAGCATGTTTAAATGCTCGTAACTAAAAACAGAAAACTTCATGTCCAAATAAAATCCAGGTAGAAAGACCAACATTCTCTTAAAGCAGTCATTCAAGTTTGTGTATTTTTTCCTCTTGTACTTTGTATGTCATTGTTAATTAAATATTCTCTGGTTATGGTAGTTTGTGGGACTAAAGGTGTCATGTAAGCAGATTATGTTTGACTTGTTTTTGGACTTTTCTACAACCCTCTGATAACTAAAAGATAAAATAACCAAAGAAATAAGAAAGAAATGAATGATTTATGCTTCTTTACTCATTCTTTTGCAGCTCTTATTGGGCAGCAACAAAAAACATGCCCCTGCTGCACACATAACATTTTCAAATGGAAAACCAAAACATAACAGTCAGAAGTCAAATCCTACAACCCACCAACACTCTCCAGAGGTGAGAGGCGCGACATTTAACTCGTAGCACTTAGGATGGAATAACTGAGATGAAATTGAGCAGATAACTATTATTCTTCCTGGATGTGAATGAGAAAAAGTCACATTTCTATTTCCCTCGTTGAGTTTAATCATGCAGGAAAAAAAGACGCTATGATGTCATTTTGCTTGTTGAATATAAATCAACTGCACAATCAGTATGGTTCATTTTACCAAAAGCAATTCAAACTTCACAAATTGTCAGTGATGAATGCCAGGTTTCTTTCAAACAGCTGAGCAGTAAAACTTGATAAAAATCATTTTTAAATGAAGAAAAGAAACCCTCAATATTTCAAAAGTCAAACAGATAAACAAATAAAATCAATATCTGCTACCCACTGCAAAGCAAGAGCATCTGGCATATATTGAAAAATATCATATCTGATCGTTATAATCCAATTTATGTGATAGAGTCTGTAAAAAACATTCAGTGCCTCAATTGTTCTTGCTGTTCGAAACAATATTGTGTCGCACAAAAAGCCTAAGTTATTGATTGTCCCTGCTGTAATTGAATCTGCCTCAGTACAATGCAATACCCTTTGTTTAGTTTTACATATAAATAAAAAATATACAATTTGCAGAAATCATGTTTGCCAGAAAAACAATAATGAAACAAGCCGTGCACAAAACTTTTTAACATATGAATGTTTTTCATTTTGAAATTCATCAAATGATTTGCGCCGAAGTGCAGCAACACCGCAGGGTCATGAATGGAACAAAAAAAGTGGATTTACAAAACAACAACTCAGATAAGAGCAGATGGAGAATCAGCAAAAGCATGCTGACTGCAAACTGCAAACTTAAATATTAAAACTAATTATACTTGGCATTAAAAATTGAGGTATCTGTAAAAAAAATCACCCATCTGAGAGGTGATCAAGCAAACAATCATACCAATACTACCAATACATTAACCGTCATGCTGCCGATCAATTCTTAGTCAGAAATCTAAAAATACATTTATGCAGATAGTCAGTAACATTTCTCACGCCAGAGATCACACTCCATTGAGCACAGTCGAAGTTTCATCCTAACAAACATGTTGTTCTGCTGCAGATTCATTTCCTCACTTGAAGCCTTCAGTGGGTTAATACGACAAATGTACAGTCTCACTTTCAACATCTGTGCAGCTGTATTATTATTCACATTAACTGCCACCACAACGGCAGAAACTTCAGCTATGAATTTATCTTCTACTTGTGTGACTAGCAGCACATGGGTTGAAATTTGGGGACTGTGACAGCACCGATGTGACACATTGTAGCCCAACTGAGGCCTTTTCTACACTGAATATAACAATGGTCAGCATTTGCTCTCTGGGCCACTGGCTGTCATCTTGTCTGATTAGCATCTCCCACCAGAGCTCAAGGGTCCCTTCTCTTCTCCAAGAACAGACAAGCTGCACAATAAGACACTCAAACAAGAGGCAACAGGGAAAAAACACACACACACAAACGCACTCGCTGTAACAAAGATGTCATGAGCACAAATGACGAACTACTTTTAAGTAGTTAGTGGCTAAGATGTGCAAAATCATGCAACAAAAATATAGACGTCAGTCCTTGTTTTTGTTTTGTTTGGCACCTTACCAAACTCAGAGCCAAAAAGGAAGAGTAAACAGCTGAATGTAAACTTAGAGATGAATTATACATGTGGGAAGAGTATTTGTATTGCCTTCATTTCTAGACTACACACATGCAGATTTGCACCTATTCATAAATTTTTTAACATCTACTTTTAATGACAATTTTATTTAAAATAGTACTAGTTGAATATCTGCATTAAAAAACAAGTCTCCAAATATGTGTCAATCTTTTAGCTCATGAGCTCAAATATTATTTACAACATCATTTTTGTTACAATGTAATTTTTAAGAAAAGTAGCTTTGGACAGGCCTGGAAATTCCAGCAATAATTATTCCCAAATCAGATCAGATCAGATGGATAGTTCTGAAAAATTATGCACAGTTGTAAATGTGTCATATCCTTAGCACAGAGCTTTGCAATCATTACAGGCTGGGTCGGTCTCTGCTGGGTCATTCATAAACAGCTGCATCCTCCTCAAGCTCCCAGTCCAGCAACAAATAATCAGAAAAAAGGCTGAGCTTTTCTCTTTTCAATTAATATCAGAATTGTCTCAGAGATGAAATATTTTTTGATGAAGGATAATGCAGCATTTCCAAAGCACTGCAAGCTCTCAGCTCTCACATTTTTGGCAAAAAAAGGAACTATCTGGTTGTTCATTCACAATTTCACCATCATAATAAGACGAGAAAATAACCAAATCCATGAACAATTTCTGCCTGTTTAATCCTTCACTCATGTTCCTCAGATGGTCCCATTTCAGGAGTCATTCTCAATACTTTGGTGTGTTCTTGAATTTGAAGATGTAATGTGAACTCGACGCACTCTGAAAAGAAGATGACTAAAACCTCGATCTTAAGATTAATCAAGGCAATCTGTTTATAGAGAAAAATCTCAATTATGCAATTTGTGATTAAATAACATTATCTAATGCTTTAAACCAGCAGTTCCTTAGCTGCACATCTATGTAATATGAAAAGTTTGTCGACGCACTGAGTTGAGTCATGCAAAGTAGATACACTGCAGGCGATACATTCATACCACAAATGACCGTTGAGGTTAATTTTAATTAACCACTCGACAACCTTTTTTTAAAAACTGTCAACTTGTTAGTGCTTTTTTTTCTCTCTGATGTCAGTTTACATGTCCATGGACGATGAGGTTAAAAGCACTATTTGGACGAATGGAGTGGGATTAATACATTTGCCACAAAATAAATGAGAATAGATTTTTAGATAGAAGAAAAATTAAACCATTGATGGACGGTCACTAAAACATTTAAGTTTATCACCATCAATTCCTGGTCTTTGAACTGTGGACCAGCTCTACACTCTCAGCAGAATCCTCGAGCGTGTATGGGAGTTTGCCCAGTTTACATGTGTTTTGTGGACCTGGAGAAGGCATTCGACTTTGTCTCTCGGGGAATCCTGCGTTCTGGGAGTATGGGGTACCGGACACCCTGACGAGGGCGGTTCGTTCCCTGTACGACAGAGCTTGGTCCGCATAGCCGGTCGTAAGTCGGACTCGTTTGCAGTAAGGGTTGGACTCCACCAGGGCTGCCCTTTGTCATGGATTCTGTTCATAACTTTTATGGACAGAATTCCTGGGTGCAACCAGGGCGTTTAGAGTCAGGTTCCGTGGCCTCAGGATTGGGTCACTGCTTTTTGCAGATGACTTGGTCCTGTTGGTTTCATCGGGCCGTGACCTTCAGCTCTCACTGGATTGGTCCACAGCCGAGAGTGAAGCGGCTGACATGAGAATAAGCACCTCAAAATCTGAGTCCACAGTTCTCAGCAAGAAAAAGGTGTAAAAGCCCTCTCTGGGTTGGAGATGAGATCCTGCCCCAAGTGGAGGAGTTCAAGTAACTCAGGGTCTTGTTCACGAGTGACGGAAGAATGGAGCAGGAGATGTCCATGTAGATTCTCATTCATCCAGGTCATGGTTATCTTGAAGACTCCAAAATCAGGCAATTGGACTGTCTACACAGTCCAGTTGCGTGATGTTGGAGATTTGAGATTGATTTTGGAGTCTTCAAGATAGCAGGAGATTGACAGGTGGATCACTGCTGGGTCAGCAGTGATGTTGACGCTGCACAGATATGTTTGGTGAAGAGGGAGCTGAGCCAAAAGGCAAAGTTCTCGATAAATCGGTCGATCTATGATCCTACCCTCACCTATGGTCACGAGCTGTGGGTAGTGACCAAAAGAACAAGAGCACGAGTACAAGCAGCTGAAATGAGTTTCCTCGGCAGGGTGGCTGGGCTCTCCCTTAGAGATAGGGTGAGAAGCGCAGTCATTAAAGAGGGGTTCGGAGTAGAGCCACTGCTCCTCTGCGTTGAGAGGAGTCAGATGAGGTGGCTTGGGCATCTAATGAGGATGCCTTCCTCTGTGTTCAGGGCACATCCCACCGGTAGGAGACCGCGGGGAAGACCCAGGACTAACTGGAGAGACTATGTCTCTTAGCTGGCCTGGGAACGCCTCAGGGTCCCCTGGGAAAGGCTGGACTAAGTGGCTGGGGAGAGGGAAGTCTGAGCTTCTCTGCTCAGGCTGCTGCCCCCGTGACCCGACCCCAAACAAGGAGCTGAAGATAGATGAATGGATGGACAATAAGCTAAGCTTGAAAACCATGACTAAAACAATCCTTAGAAAGTTATTTAAGTGAAAACCTGAAAACACATGAAGTGTTATGACTTTTAAAGTGTGAGTGGTCTAGGACGTGCCTCCAAAAGAACATCATGTACAGCATTTACAGTCTGGCAAGTTCAAATAACGTAATGGTAATGTAAACAAAACAGAGTCCTGCTTTTTGACTAACTCAGAGCCTTTTGACTCTATTTGACATAATTATTTCCAGAAGAGCTGAAGAAAGAGAATTTATAACCAAACACATTACTTCACCAAAAACACAGAATATAAACCACAAAACGGACACAGAGTCAATAAGAAATGATGTGTCTTCTTCTTTAAAATGACTCTTCAGTATGATCCAAATAAATATTTGAGTAAGTTAAGAAGAATTCTTTCATCTGCTAAGCCTGTATTATTCTAGTTAATGATTACATTAAGTGTGACATGATTGGTATAATCTCTCATGATGGTCAACACACTTAAAGGTCAATGTTTGATTCAGTCAACTGCCGGCACACTTTGTTATACTTTGCATAAAAAATCATTACATAAAATAACTTTAAAAGACAACTGAGATTTTACCAGGAAAAACATGCAGATACATTACATCTCCAGTACCCACAGCAGTCATTAAGTACAACTCTGTCTTTAAACTGTCCGATCACAACTGTGTGAGTGTTTCACAAAAGATAGGCACAGTACAATCAACTACTCTATTCAGGATTCAGCAGTTAGAGGATTTGGTGGTCTTGTAATAATCATGGTTGTACATATATTGGTTTTATTAATCATTCATTAGTTTAACAACACCATACCATACTTAATTAGAAATTAAGAGTGTTATCTTTGAAGGGGGGCAGCCATATAACATTTTTAATACATTCTTTGTTCTCAAACATATTAAAAATGTTCACTGGCAGTTTACTGGCCTGCATTCATTTACTGAGCAGCATGCAGTGGTGCAGAGTGATGAATATTTTGGTAAGTCAAGAGTTAATTTTAACCTCATCTGTCGTCATCAACACTAAACTGATAAATGTTATGTCACAATGTCACATGACTGTTCATAGCAAAGTGTCACCACAAAAATCCAGATCTGGTGTTGTCTAAATACAAAGATCAGGTTCCATGTGACTAGAGTGTGAGCTAAATGACAAACCCTTTTTAAGTTTTAAAAGATCTTAGTTGTTTTTTTCATCTGAACTCACTCAGGACTGAAGCCAGACCCTCTGCTGTGACCAAACTGAGCTCCAACATTTGATTACGCATCTAGTGACTGACAAGCCAACCTAAACAAGGTGCTGGTCACAGCTCACAAATAAACCACTACATAGCACTAAATGAAAATTACCCTTTCAACAGCAGCCATCCACTGGCCTGCTACACTAAAGAGTCAATATCCTCATCACATTTGCATCATCAACACAGCTGGAGGGAGGAATGATGAGTGTCTGCCGGAGCCACTTTGGCTATTTTTTCCAATCCATCTTTTTCTGGCACACTTTTGAAGGGTCTCGCCAGTCCCACTCTGCCTCAATTATCTGTCTATGCCCAGCTGAGATGCAATAATCCAAACTCTCATTCCCTGCAATTTCCACACTTCTGTCTGCACACTCACTTGCCTTATGTTCTCAATCACTTATGGCACTGCTTCCCCTACCTTGAGGATCAGAGACACAGGAGCACATACTGCAGGCAGGCAGAAGGAGGGATTTACCCTCTATAGGCCTTATACACTCTGAGGTGCTGCAGTTCATTTTCAAATCAACTTTTCGTACTTTTTGCATGATTTAGTCTCATTTACATTCATGCTCGCTAGAGCACACTAAATATAAACCAATGTGAGAGAGAGACGGACCGAAAAATTAGTTTAGTTGATGCATCAGATGATATCAGTTTACTGCAGGTTAGACTGGTAACTCAGACATGTTGTTATTACAGCTAGTATTAGTTTCACACATACATGAAGGTACTGGTGTTTGTCAATGAGGGAGACGTTGCGACATAAGACAAGCTTACGTTTCAATATTTCAGAAACTAAACCTTGGGTATCAAAATCAAGAATCTGTTCCAATAAATAAATTACTATAAAAATATAAATCATTCAGATTTCCAAACTCTCAAATAAACAACTATTGGCATAAATAATCCAGTATTTGTCCAAGTATACATCAACTACAGAGATTCTTGTTCCATTGAAATAACATCATATATTCAGTCCCTGTAAGGCATTCACATTATATTCATTTGGATCAATTTTGAAGTAAAATAGAACAGAACAGAAAACATCCTTTCACAAACACCAACATTTGACATAAGCTGCTTATAATGGTAAGAGTGGGCAACTTCTCCTTCAAATAATGTTACAACAAAATAAAACATTTCCTCTCAATTTTCATGGATGATGCAGAGGAAGTATACCAAGCTAACTATTATTTTATGAGTAATAATTTTAAGATGTACATAAAACAGCTCACATTAAGACAGTGTGATGCATCTTCGACACAAAGCTAAAGACTGCATGACACTGAGCATTAGCAACAGTCATTAAGAGTTGTCTCTCTCGCTTACATTGATGTGATTTGACAGGAAACAGCAACTAATCTTAATTTAAGATCCAAAATTAGAAAAAACACATAATGACTGACCGCCTCATAAGTACACTTGACTTTCTGATGTAAGAAAGCTGAACCTTCACACTGCTTTAAAGAGGAGTCGATTCAGTACACCAGGAAAGTTAACGTGGACCCCAACATCAGTTTGACATAAGAAAGAGTACACACACACACACACACACACACACACACACACACACACACACACACACAGACAACATCCTGTTCACTTGAATGATTAGGTATTGTTTAACTCACAGTTCATGAGTGACAGCTCTGTTCGTCTTTCTTTGTCTTTTTGTTCACTTTCCAATAAGTGTGTGTCTTTCGTCTCACAGATAACTGACGACAACAAGGTTTTGTGGATGCAAACAAAACAAGCTTTCAGAAAACAGAAAGCCTGATTGTTGGCTTTCTCTAGTACCACATCAGACAATAGATGGGCTTCAGATTAATGTCCTGCGGTATTTATAACTAGGAAGCGATCCAGAAGCAGGGAATCTGAACTCTTGGTAGTACAACCAAATCTGTTCAGGTGCTCAAAGACAAACCAAAAATAAAGTGATTTCTTAAAATCACAATTACATGTGCGTGTAAATCAGAGGCTCACTAAGTTTCATGTGAATTCCTCTGTCTTTGTAGTAATGGGAAAAGTACACAACTTCATTACTGCAGTCAAAGCAAAGACACTCAGCTCACAGAAAAAGACTTGAGTTCATGAGATTCTAACTCTACTTTTCAGAAAATTTCAAGGATGAAACGAATGACTGGAATTTTAGTCTTTTATTCAAACAAAAGTCACCAAATGCAAAACAATGAAGGTCCATATTGAAATATTTAAGTTAGTCATCATCTTGAAATAAATATCACTTCACTTCTACTTTCTGACGAATTATCAATAAACCAATGCAGCAAAAGACAGAAACAATTAATATGTATCCTTCTCCAATACTTGTGCATGTTCTGACCAAAACATATTTATTAAATTACTAATTAAAAACACCTTCATTCACTACTGCAGTGCTGGAAAAAAGGAGAACACAATAGACCGACAAACAAAAACGCATCACTGGATCGATCATGGAGTCTGGTGTTGCTCTGTATATCCATGAGATCTACCGTTGTACAAAATTAACTGCAGTCTGGAGTGTCTCTGTCCACAGAAACAAACAGAGACGGCTGTCTCACATGGATGATCCCTGCACAGGTTGAATGTGCATCCAGCAACCAGCTTATTTTTTGGACACAACTGTGGATAGGGATGCCCTCACCTGCAGCATAAACAAGATCCTCTCCACACAGAAAACATACTGTTCCTCTTCTTCGTCGCTTTAGTATCCAGATATCTCAAGAACTAATCACAGCAAGGTTATGACAAGCAAGACAACTTTGTTTCAAATGTTCAGCGGGGCTCATGCAAATATTTATCCACATACCTCGACAGACTTTCTCAGGTAGGTCAGAGACTTTTTGTAGGCTGTGCACAATAAACAGAGTCAAGATTTTACACAGCAATCATCCTTCATTTCAAACTCCTCAAAATGGGTATGAGATATGGCCATGGATGCTCAGGTGAAGAATCCACACAGTCATTAGGACTATTGTAGCGAGGGGATTCTCTCTGCAGGGTCTGCAGGATTACTTAACAGGTTCATTTATCTGTTTAAAGTTAACAGGTTTTGTTTTCGAAACCACTGACATGGACCTTCATTTGATGAATGATTATCAAAATCTTTGACCTCTGTTTCAGTTTTTCTCAACATTATCATCTTTGCGTTATTTGACCTCAAACAGGAGGGCAGCACTGTGGCAGCAGACAGAATCTCAAAGGACATCAGCTAAAAAAGAGCAGGTAAGGAGACTGAATTTGTGCTGACATGTAAGGATGGACAGCAGACAACTTGAGCAAGAGCGTAAGGCCTTTTACGTTTTGAAGTAATCCATGAATCTTTTGGTTATGATGCGTTTGGATAAATACTTTTTCTTGGATTGTGGGGATCATATCTGTCGCAGCATGAGCCAGGTGGAATGCTCAACTGTTTTTTATGTTAACATTTTTTTTTTTGTCAAAGTTTTGAAGCACTGACTCAATTGTCAGTTTCTTCACCATGGAAAACAACTCCATAACCTCAATCAGATTTGGTGTTACGGCCGTTTAAGTTCCAATATTCCTGTGTAAATATCTGTTCAAGGTCCGAGCATAACTTTTGGAGGAGTGACGTCGTGTGGTTGTGGAATTGACCTACCATGCACAGCCCTTTGTTTTAATGATATCGCAGTAATTCTTCTTTGCAGTTACCGCTTCAGCCATTACAGTCATTGTGACGATCTCTAAAGGTACTGCCTAACCTTAGAGATGTTTTCTCTGCTTTTGCTCTACATTCAACAATAAAGTCATGCAATGTAAAAGTACAGCAACGCTCGAGACAAACCACGTGCAAAACTACACAAATGCTGTTTATTATCTATTGGATTGGATTTTTGGAAAGCACTGAAAACTCCTCAGCTGACTCTTGAGCAAAAGAAGACAGTTACGAGAAAATTAATAGAAATGTGGTGGAAACGGACATACAATATTTGTATTTCTAATGTAACACAGTAAAAGCCATGTAAAGCCAGTATTACAAATAATACTCAAGTATAGATACTCAAAAAACGTACCTCAGTACAGAACTGGAGGACATTTACATTGTTACTATCCATTGATATTACACCATCAAACCTCCCTTTGTTCCACATGTTTGCAGCAACAACTCTTGAGTATAATTCCAGGTGGAGAACTCTTGTTCCAAGTACCAGATTTCAACATCTCAGTCAAGGGGTTGGGGCCATACACAAGACTGAAAACTGAGACTATGTCCCAAGGTTTGTTGAAATTAGGTCCTACCTGATGTACTGAACTGACTGCTTCCAAGTGTAGTGGGCCTGTTCTTCCCTCCATTTACAGGTGGAGAAAACATCTGAAGAGAAGAACGTGGTCATATATTAGAGAAACAAGAGTGAGAGCAACCATTCAGATTATCCAACATGAGTCCCAAATTTAGGGATAGGTCTTAAAATCAATCAACAGCTGCCTCTGAGATCGACCTCTTTCCTTGTTTCCATCACTGAGTTTTTCTGATTACGTCATTTGCTTGGTTGCATCTTCTGAAGACTATAAAAAATAATATTAGAACTCTAAACTTAAGATTTGCATAAATCAACGAAACAAAAAATTCATCAATCGCAGTGGCAGGTGACCTGAAATTTAGAATAGAATAGAATGGAATAGAATTCAACTTCATTGTCATTGCACATGTCACAAGTGCAGAGCAACGAAATGCAGTTTGCATCCATCCAGAAATGCTAAGCAAGTATAAATATATTTACAAATGTACAGGTTATGAAGGAGATATTTACATGAGTATATCACGGGTATATAATATTGCTATGATCTTAATGATTTTAAAAGCAAACTGAAAACGAACCATTTTAGTCTTGCTTTTAACTAAATTTGATATCATTAGCTCTGTTTAAGTGTTTTAGCATTTATCTATTCTAGTTTTATCACAAGATCATCTTTTATTGAGCTATTTTGGTGCTCTTATTTTAGCGTCTTTTACTGTTGTTTTTATTTCATTTTATTTATTATTTCTTAAATTTCATTCTCTTTTTCTTTTTTTTTAGATTTTAACCTAAACCTCCCGTGTTTCCTTATCTTGAGTTTTAAAATGACGTTTCCTCAGTGCACACATTCCTGTTTCCATGAAATCAAGCCCTTTTTAAATTTATGCATTTTAATACTGTTTCTGTTGCATTTAGATCATGGGGTGGGAATGAGGGGTTGGGTTTGGGTATTCTTTGTTTCTTTTATTCCTTTTTCTGTGTAAAGCACTTTGTGATACATGTTATGTATGAAAAGTGCTATATAAATAAAGACTGATTGATTGATATGAATATGCTATAACTATAAGTATGTACAGGCTATGAACAATTTATACATATGGTTATAAAAATGAAGGGTATAAACAGACTATAAATATAAGCATATGACAGATAAATTATGCAATAGTTCAGATTCAGATTCAGATTCAGTGCAATATTGGATGTATTTACAGTAGTGCAAATGAGGTTTGAAAGGTTTTAAGTCGGTTTACAGATATAAAGTGCAGGTAATTGTAGATAATATGTATATGTCACTACTAACATTTAAAATGCATGTAGCAGGTAATAAAGCTAATCATCTCCCCTTATGGACACTTGTATGAACTTAGCGATGAGAAGTGCTTTTGTGCGTGTGGTCATGACAACCACAGCCCCGCAAGATTTCTTTACATGAATGAAAGGAGGCAAATACAAATCCTACCTACCGCACTAAAATCCAGCAGGTCACTTAATTCCTTGTCTGTTCCGAGAGCGGCAATCCGCTGCTGAGGATTCATCCTGGTGATCTAGAAACCTGCAGAAACACAAACATCAGATTAACATCTCTGTCTGCTTTATTCACACACACACACACACGCTCACGCTCACACTCAAACACACACACACACACAGGAAATGACTGCCAGCCACGAGAGCGATTTTGTTATTATGCATGCAGAACACAAAGACTTCAAACTAAAGTTGGCCGTGGCAGTAAATAACACAAAGATATTGACAGTCTGACCACTTTATGTCTGATAAATATGCAAAAGCATTTAGTTAACATCTTCACTTTTGTCCCACACTGCGATGCAGAAAAAGATGTTAAAGACAGCGCTGTGAATGGATGGAGGGACCTGCAGCATCGCTTTATCGCAGACACTAACAATGTTTCCCTGTCATAACATTCACTGTTACTACTTTATGTTACTCACTTGTTAGGTCCATCACCGGCTATGTTATTGTCAGTGATTTGTGTGGCAGTCTTGGTCAAGAATAACGATGGTTAGCTGAAGGACCTAACGTCATATGCTAACTGGCTAAAGCTAGCCGCAGTAACTGGTTGATGTGGATTGAAAACGGCCAGCGAGCAGCTGCAGCGCTTCTAGTCAGTGTTCAAACAATTGTAAAAAGGAGGAGATACTGCCTTTAAAATAAATGAGACGTGTGTTACTCACTCCATCAACGTAAGTAACACTGCCAAGCAAATACTGCAAATGAAAATCTCAATTCCCGGCTCCTGACTACAAAACGCAATGATGGTCTTTCTCAACTCCCAACTTCTTTCACAGGACCGAAAGCTTCTGGCAAACTCCCACTCATATTTTACCTTTTTCCGATTAAAATCCCGACTAGGGTGCTCTGGTGAAAGCTTGCTTTCTTGCAGTGCGCCTCGGAATAGCGAAATGTGGGTTTAAACGGCACTACCTGTGAAAATATCCTCTATATGTCAGTTACGAGTTTCCCTTAGGCAGACATTTTTGCTTTGCAAAAGCCTCAGCACCACGATGACATTGGTTGTTGTATCCCTCCGCCGAGCACAGCGACATGATGGTCCCACACAGCGGGAGATGCTGCGGGACTAAGTGAGGGCTGTGTGGATGGAAGATGTGGCTATCTCTGCTTTACATTTACCAAAGATATTGACCAGTTTGTCTGAGACTGCGACCTAAAAGTAACTCGAATCACTGCAGAAATTAAAAATCATTACAGTGAATGTAATTAAATGTTACACGAAACTTACCAGAGCCTATATGAAAAGAAGGTGTGAAGCTTCTTTCACGCAGTCATTACTCCGCATAACCACAAAAATGTCTGCACACCTTAGGCAGAAATAGAGATGAAAGCTGGATCACCGACCAGAAAGAGATTTTACAGGGTCACAGACCTATGAGGCCACAAGTTCACAGGAGATTTCGAGCTGGATTTAATGATTTGATCAACTAAATACCTGTAGGAATCAAACCTATCAGTCCGTTCTGTAAATAGGGGAGAGTGGGATAAGTTGAGCCACCCTCAGTTTCTTGGAAACGGCAAAAGAAATTGATCATTTGACCAAATATTTTGGATATGGGTATCAATTCATGGGGTCTGTGAAGGTTAGAAGCACATGGGTTAAAGGGTTAGACATTTATTTCCAAGAAAAACATTTTTCACTCTTGAAAGTGAATTGAGTCTGTCATAAGTTTGATTAGAATTGTGTTCAGACCAAAAACAATCATTTTAAATTTGTTTTATACATCAATGGTGGTATCTATTAGCTACAACATGAGGTCAAAACCTGGCATAAAATACCACCATTTTATCTTAGAGGACTAATAAAGTCACAATAGTAGTTCTGGGGTAAGTTGAAAGGAGTCTGATGAGAGGATCAGAGTTTCAGTTCAGATTGTTGAAATGTGTTTCTTTTTCTTTTTCAAAATACAGCTGTGAATGTTCTGAATCACTTAAAGACATTCTCATGTTAAAAGGACTTTTTACAAAACAGCTTTTTAGCTGTTATATACAATAATAATAAAAAGATTTATTGCACCAGAAGAAGAAGTGACTGTTATTTAGGGAGAAAGAAGGTGAAGGAGGGCTGGGGTGGAGAGTGCGGGGTAGTAGGAATATGACTCAACTTACCCCGCTCCTCTGGTCAGCTAACCGCATACACAGGGTGAGTTGACCATAGGAGACCACTTTTTTTTTTTGGCATGCTATATTATCAAGACAGTTGTGTTTACACTCATTCTGTTGGTTTGCAGGGATGCAAAACATCTTGAAATATATGCAGATACACTAGTTAGAGACAAAACTATGATTGTCTTGATGTAGTGATCCGAAATATGAAAAATGGCTCATCTTACCCCACTCTCCTTTATATGTAGGCCATATATGTAGCCTATGTAGGCCTGTACAGTTTTGATGATGGGAAATTGGAATAATTTTGCAGTGCCCTGTTTGCCAAGTTGTTATCCACACTAAAATTAGTCATCCTGATGTAAAAAGTCTGTTTGCAAAATTATGTTTGCAGCAGAGTTAATAGATCTCTATGGCCTACATGATACAGATGTTATGTCCCAGAGTGTGTTCATCGAGTTTCACAGCAACATGACCACAAATTTATTCAGCTCGAAAACTTTAGGGGTTCAAAAATATTTCACACAAGTAAAAACTGGATTATATCAAAATGATAAGCTTTATTGAAATGCCTACAAAGTTGATTTTAACACAAGTCTTACCTCTGACAATGCCAGAGGGCCAATAATAGTTAATAATTTTTGGATGGCCAATGAAGTGGCAAACCAGAAAGGGGTCAGCACAGCCACCTCTGAGAAAGAGGTACCTTTGTCTACAGAGGGAGCCAACATCAATAAAAACCAGCTCCTCACAGGACTTTTACGAAATCGTTGGTCCAATTGAATGTGAACTTTGATCCAAAGTCGAATCAAAATTTCAGCATTGGTGCAGACCAATTAACTGAAATACGATTTTAGTCAAATAGTAGCCATCAACATTTAGGGCAGTGAGGTGCCAACATCAGCCCAACAGTAAAGGTATATCTTTAGTTTACCCCAATAGATTTGTTGTTATTTGTCCAAAAAATAATAATTGTTGTCAAACTTAACTCATACTTAAGATGTTGTCATTTTTTGCAAACATGTCGAAAGGAATTGTCTCTTTGTGTTGAGGAACTTCATTGTCGCATTTTATTTAAGTTTTTGTCCCTGAATTTGTCATATTTGTGGATTATTGCCTATTGTTCCTGTAACGTGAAGGTTCAGTGTAAGGTGGTTGGATAATTCTAATGATGAGAAACAACAGGATGGAGATGGATAACTTTCTTAGCAGCACTTTTACTCTTTACGCCATCTTGTCATCCCCACAACATAACCCCAAAAACTTAACATCCTGGACAACCCTGATCACATGTCACAGCACTTATCAATCAGAGGCTAGGACCTCAAAATAAATGTAAATAAACCTCAGGAACACATTCTACATAATCTGCTAACCCTAACAAACAGCTGCAGAGAAAAACATTTAAACTTGTAAATGTGTAAATATGAACCTGTCAACACTTTGTGAATAGCTCTCTGTATGAATTCTATAAACACAAATTTTCAGCTTAACCAAGAGACAGTTAACTGTAATAGTAAACAAGTATATGTGAATTGACCTCACTGTTAAAGCTTACATTACTTACTTGTTCGAACTAAAAACAACAAAAGTGTTTTTTTTTCCAAAGGAGAAACATTTTAAATACTGTTATGGATTTATATATTTGCTTACTTGAAATTATCTAGTGGACACAGCTGACCTTAAACTTGAATGAAACACCATAACTGTGATACATAATTTTTTCAACATTGTGCATTATCTTTACTGTAATAACACAAAAATCATTGTCAAGCACTAAATTCTTGAAATTCTCACTACTTGTATGAACCTATTTTCTCCTTACAAGTTTAATTGATCTAAAGTTTCTTTCTTTGTTATCTATAAACCCTGATAAGCAACTTTTTTTAAAAACTTCTTTTCGTTTGTATAGGCTATGTCTCTTTCAGTGTCTTAAAAGTGTATTTAATTATTTTCCAAGAGGTATGTTTTACATCAGAACTTACTCTTTGTGACTTTAGTATGTCACTTTGTTCTGAATGTATTTTTATTAGATTTTATTGATAAGACTTTTATTGTGAAGGGCTCATACCAGAAGTGCAGTTGCTTTTGGCGGAAAGAAGGCGGGTATTTGAAAACAATTTAGACCAAATTAGGAGAGGCAGGCGAATATGACAACACAGCTTTGTGATATCAACCAAATGTCAGTTTAAAATGCCAAAATTCAAGATTAATCCATCAAGATAAATCAGATCTGAGCTCAGACGATATGTCACCGTCTGCAAGTCAAAACTGTGAGTATCTCTGGATGTTTCACAGGATGGAGAAAGTTAAAAACAACAGAGAAAAGATAAAAACTGATTACAACAAGAGTAGTTATCTCCTGAAGTTGTAAGAGTTTGGTTAAAGCTACAAGAATGAAAACACGTGTTTGTGCAGCTTCCTCTGTGGTATGAAATAACACAGTTCTTGGCAGGGGAAACCAGAATGGAAGTGCTCGGTGTAAAACAAATAAAAATGGGAAAAGACATCTTCATTTACCTCATTATTTTTAAGAAGATTACGAGTGAAAGATATTTCACGTTTGTCGATGTTTTATTCGAGAAAATACTCGTAGTCAAGCTTAAAACTTGGATGAATGTTAATTTAAGAGCAGAATATGCAGATATCACCTCAACAGCTCACTCCAGCTACAGGTGTGTTCAGGGACACTAACGAGGTTTTCACGAGGATTTCTGACAGCCCAGCTCTGTGGAGCTAAATCTTTGAGGTGCAGCGGCTAAATAAACCCACCGGGATTGGTGTTAAGCAGATAAAATTAACCCCCTATTTTCAGCATCTATTTTGTTCGGCATGTTCGGCTCAATGCGAAGCAAAGTACAACTGGGGTCCTTCTTCTGAAAGGGGACTACTTTTT